CTTTCTTGTAGCCTGCTCTCCTCCTTGTGAACACAAAGAATGTTTATGCCCGGGTCCTGTAACCACTTTCATTAGTATTTCTAACATTTAAAAGGTTTTATTTGACTTTCTTTAAAGGAAAGCCATCAGCATAAATGAGTACCCAGATTCCTTAAAAGAGCATAGAATGACATAGTCACTTATAGCTCTGACTTACCTGTCTTTGCATGTCAGTGACGTTTTGCTCGTATTGGTTGAAGTCATGCCTCTTTCCGTGAGACTTTGTCTTGTGCCACTCTAGGATGCAGCTTTCCAGCTGAGCGTTAGCTGCTTCTAAGGAACGGACCTTGTCCAGATAGGCAGCCAAACGGTCATTCAGGTTTTGCATAGTCTGTTTCTCATTCCCACCCAGGAAGATGCTTTCCCCATGGTGCTCGCCGAAGCCTCCCCACGGCGCCCCTCCTCCAGCAGCCAGCCAGAGGGGTCTGGCAGAGGAGAAGGAGGTATATGAGCTGCTGGCACCACCATCTGCACTTGAAGGTCTGTAAGAAGTTCCTTGCTGGGTCAAACCACACCCTGAACTACCCCTGAGGGACTCAGAAAAAATTTGAAAAGGGCCTTGGCTGGAACTCATGTTTAGCTCTGTTGTGAATCTAACCCAATGTTTGACTGACTAGCACTGAGCAGCTTCTTAGCCTTCCCTAAGCAGCTTTATGCCTTTTCCTGTGGGAGTTTCCCTTCGATGAATGACTACAGCAACAAGATTGTGTCATCATGGAACGTGCTTCCTCTTGGTCAGTTCTGAAGCATTTATGAGCCTGCACACACTGTTGTTGTTATTTGGAATCAGCCACGCACCGGATTGCTTTCCTTTTGGTTGTTTTGGTTTGTTCTTTTTTTTTCTTTTTCTTTTCATATTGTAATAGTGAGGTGTGGCTAAAATCAGTAGGTGTGGAACAGGATCAGCTCTGCCTCAGACTTTTTTCTAATCCCGTAGTTAATATATTATGTTTTCCTGCTTATGAGGGGAAGAGTATTGTCCATTACAGAATAACTGGAGAGCTGGGGCAGGGATGGGTCTCTCAAGACACTTTCTTTCTGTTGTAATTCTCAGGCTTTAGCACTACAGCAGTCTGTGAATCCTGAAACGCAGCGTGTCCTATCGAGCTGTCATTAACGTACCGAACAGCTTCAGCCTGTATGAGACCTGAGGCTTTAACGAAGTCATCTAGCCTCTGTCATTGGACTAAAGCTCCAGTCCAAAGTGAGCAGGGCCCAGCTAGTCCCTTCAGCTGCCCGTTTCCAGTTGAAATACATGAGAATTAGGTACTTAACAATCTTTTTCATGATTTGAGGTGCAGTCATATTTCAGTAGTCTTGTGGAAATAGACAGTAATGCAGGAATTTCTTGCTGGTACTAGTATTAATACTATTAAGATATTTATATGTTTAGCTATAGAAAATATTTAGAATATGAGTTTGTAACAACACTCGAAAAATTCAAGTGAGTATTTAAAGCTACCAGCCCTAAAAATTGACCTGGCAATCATGGAAAAAATAGTCTTTCTCAAAAGTTTCAGTGACCTTCTGTCGATCTTATTCCATCAGATATAGAGTGGGTAAGTCTGGCTTCTGCAAATATTTTCTTATTCCTCATGCTGATAAGTAGGTGGTGAATTGTGAAGCGTTCCCATGGCAACAGCTGGGGTTATTGGGTTTTCCTTGTCTTTCGGAGTCATTCTAGACCGCGACTGAGGGATAGGGTGGAGGCTGAAGATTTGGGAAGAGGTGGAAAGCTGAGTGGGCATGGGTGCTCTCAGAAACGGTGCAGCTATTTTTTCCTTACTGCAGTTGAAGGCTCAGCTCTTTAACGAGATCTTACTTAGCACTGTTGCTCATTCTGAATGGTGGGGTCGGAGGGACTGTACAAACCAGAATTACACTATCCTGGAAGAAACCCGAGGGAATCTTTTTTTCTCTGGCTGTTTCATTTGAAATTTTTCAGAATTAAAGAACTGCTGCACTGCATCCTTTCCTGGGATGCCTCCTAGGCCTCATTTTCTGACTGGGGCAGGTTTTGAGCTCCTCCTTGTGGCTCTATGTCAGCTCTGCTCAGCACCTGATGATTTTCTTTTTACCAGTTGTTTCCATCGAGTACATATTCCTTCTTATTCCTCGTACACTTCATTGCATAGAAATGCTAACATTTTTAATTGTTTGGGGAAATTAGTCATTGAAGATACGGTTTTCCCCTAAGTACAAGGTATGGCTATCACAAAATATTCTGGTAACAGCTACCGTTAATAGCTACAGTTTGGCATCCACTCCGCTGCTTGAGAGTGAGGAGAGCTTGAAGCACCAGACGAAAGATGAAGGCCTAACTTGAAAAAAACCCAAATTATAACAGAACCACTGATAGCCTGCTGTTCAGTTCATCTCAGCAGGGATTAAATTCAAACTGAATTTTCTAGCCTGGCAGGTCAGCAAGCTAATGTTCTATGAAATATTACATTGAAATATAGATACCTATGTATGTGCATAATATTATGTAAAATAAAATGAATCCTTTTTTCATGTGAAATTACTCAGTGAGATTCACAACTTGGCTGGCAGTGAGGCTGACAGTTTGTGAGACAGAGTAACCTCTGTCTTACTGCCTGATAGTTTCACGGAATATCATGCCATCAGGAAAAACAGAATTGTATTTTTTCTGGCAAGTAATACAAACCAGAATTGACCTGGCACATCGGAAGTGTTTCCTCTGAAGCTCAGCCTTTTCAAACTGGAAAAGATTCCACACAGTTTTCATCAATACATGTTGAGGATCCATGGAAAAGACCAAAAAACTTACTTCAGAACCAGACACGGCTCTCCTTTGTCAGGCTGGCACTATGGGACTTGTTTTTAGTCAACTATGGAATCCACAGGGTCCAGAATGAAAACAATGATCGGACTAAGACAATGAAATACTGTCAGCAGATGGCACCATTAGCTGGTGACTTCTCTTTGTTTCGTACAAACTGCTCTCTGTAAGCTGGGGAGCTGCTAGGCAAGCCCAAGCTACTGGGAACCGGGGAACGCGTAGTCCCGAGTTGCTTTCTTTGGGAAAATTTGTTTTACAGGATTGAAACATGAAAAGCAAACTGAACTGAATTTATAGGCTGCAGCTTAAGTATTTAGTCTGGAGAAGAAGAGGCTGAGGGGAGACCTTATTGCTCTCTACAACGGCCTGAAAGGAGGCTGTAACGAGGTGGGGGTCGGTCTCTTCTTCCCAGTAACAAGCGATGGGACGAGAGGGAACGGCCTCACGCTGCGCCAGGGCAGGGTTGGGTCTTCCCCGAAAGGGCTGTCAGGCCCTGGCCCAGGCTGCCCGGGGCAGGGGCTGAGTCCCCATCCCTGGGGGGATTTAAAAGAAGGGCAGACGTTGTGCTCGAGGACATGGTTTAGTGGTGGGGTTGGCAGTGCTGGGTTAACGGTTGGACTCGGTGATCTTAAGGGTCTTTTCCAACCTTAACGATTCTGTGATTCTATGATTCTATAGGCAAAACAGTTTGACATCTATGTTGTACAGGTAAATATCCTGCAACCATCACTTGCTGATTCAACTCCTCCATCGGAAATAGAAAAGGATGGCTGCCCTTGGCTGTAGAATTTCTCTCTTTCTGTCTAAGCAATACATAGAATAATCACCTGATTTCTGCATCAGGAAAAAATATCATTTGTACTGTTTGGTTTTTCTTTTCTGGTAGATTGTGATGTTACTTTGCAAGAACCTCTTCTCAGTTCTTTCCAGTGAGAATACCAGCAGGACGTGTGTTTCTTAACAGTGGTATGCCAATGATCCTGCAGCCTTGTTCGTGGCTAAGCTCTGGGGCTGGTGCCAGCAGTGTAGGTACAGGTTTTTTAAATGTCAGAAAATAGAAGACAGAAAAATAGTGGCCCTAAGGATGTTTGAAGGAAAATAAAATACATAATTCTAGAAATGATACAATTTTTGTAGATACTGTTATGTGGATTGAAATTCCCAGCGATGCGGCTAACGACAAATTTTCCAAACAATTTATGTTAGCAAAATACAGCATTTAGGTAAATGTTTTATATGCTTCTGAAGTTGGAATTTACCAGCCTCTTAAATCTTTATAAGCATCTGTCTTCAATTACACTAGTGTAGATTTGCAGACGAACTTACTGCTGGAAAAGGCAGTGTTGCTAATACATCAGCTACAGTAATGACACAGGTGGTGACTTTCTTCCCTATGTATGAGAACCAAAATCGTCACAGCAAACCCTGCTTGAACAGTTCATTTCACCGGGGCCTTGCCTGGTGCTTCCTCAAGAGCTACGGGAATTTGCCTTTTTGCTGAAGGAAGTGCAGGAACATAAACATATATATGGGAAAATACTACTTTTTTCAGAGGTGCATTTTATTTGTGCATGAATTGTGGTCATGTTGTGCACTTTAAATTCAGAACAAAGAGCTTGAGGATTTTTTGCATTATCTTCTCAGTTTTTTACCGATATTAGCTTCAGATTCCTGGGAGAATCTTATGGCACTTTATCTCTGTCCGTTCATCATCATCTTTATTACTATTATTACAGTTACTCTTGCTACTGTTGTTGTTCTCCACCGAGCATCTCTTGGTTTGGGTTACAGGAAGCACTGTGTTAGGGAGGGTGCATGGTCATGTGTATGGCAATGCCATACTGGCTTCAAAAAAACAACATCAGACCGGGCGTATTTACACAAGCAGAACAGAAACTTTATTATATAGCTTCTTCCATAAGGAAACTGTATAGCTACTGACAGAAAACAAGCTTGTCACCTCTGACCCGTAGAGCCAGACGATCATGTAAAAAGGGAGAGCAAATGTAAGGAAAGACATAAAGCTGTTGCACATTCTTGGATTACATTCTTGTGATTTGGCGAAAGTAAAAGGGTATTTCTCTTAGCATTAGCCAATGCGTAGGCTGCACTGGTTTGATATGCTGTCATATGCAAGAGGGGATTTGGTATTTCTTTATTAGAATCTCCTTTCACGAGTAGAAGGTTTTCCATCATCTTCCATGCCCACACGAGTTCTTCCACTCAGAGATCCTGTTGTCGGAGGAAAAAAAAAAAATCAACTAGGGAAAAAAAAATGCCCTGCTGACACACCGAGGAGCTGTGCGATGGGGTTTTTGTTGTTTGTCTCCTCACAAGGTCTTTTTCACATGTCAAAGGGGGAGCTGCCTTTACATCTTATCTTCTCTCCCTACTGGTCCACATCCAGTAAATCTTAAGAGTGCACATCGCGTGTCGGATTTGCATGTATCTTGTGTGTTGTGTGAATCAGCAGAGGAACTTAGGAATCTTTGGGAGATTTCAGTATTTTAGAATCCCGTGAGGAGTTCATGCAATCATTTTGGCAAGCTACTGGTTTCAAAAGTGCGCGTAAAATAAGACAAAGTATTATATTTTTGTCTCTAAATGATAAAGAATGGGGTCATTGCGGAGAGAATGTAATCTGTGTTAGTAAGAAGAAATCCTAATTAAAAAAAGATAGGTTTATTTAATCCTATTTTGTCAATTTGTTTCAGCCCCTCTTTAAATCGAAATTTTTCTTACCATCCTTAGGGATCACTCCTGACATCCTGTAGAAAAGAAGAAACATTGGATTAATGACCATCACTGACCCTGTCCACTGAAACCACTGATCCACGTAGGAACCACTGTGTGTGAACAGCCATGGTCTCACACTGCTTTCAGTGGGTGGTTTCTCAGGTGTGTTGTTCCTAGTGTTATTGTTAAGGTGCTTTCTCTTTGAAGGCCACTCCTAGGTACTCGATAGGAGATAGGAACAGCAGTCAGACCAGTTCTTGGTCCTGATATGTCTCTGTGTATTTCTCCTCTTCTCAAAATGTCATAATCTAGAAACAATATAAGGAGCTGATTCCTCCTTGGAAATCAAAAGTAATTCTATGTGTAGATCAGATATGAGAAATGGGCACTAAAATGTAGATTTTACTAAAGTAAGCTGTGGTCTGTACCAAGTTCTTTTCTAGTTGGGAGTACTGGTGTATGATGATGAATATTTTCACCTCTGTGCACAAGCGTAGAAACCCAAGAGCTAAAGAAATAATGAGAATGGGTTTTTATAGGTTATTTCAGGCTGAAGGCTGTTATTCCAGTGCAACAAGAGGATTATGTAAGATATACATATGGTGCCTTCTATAATTCATTGTAGTCAAAATGGTTGCATTTATATTTTCAGATCACCAGCACAATTGATCTGGAGATTTAGCTTGCGTTATACCAACGCCTGGGAATTTGCTGGGCATCTGTTTTGCCAGTACTCAAAAGGCTGTGTATGCAGTGAATGTAATTTAGTAATCTGGAGTCAGTTTAGCAACCACAAATTACTGCTTTACAATGTGTCATGTTATTAACCTTATCTAATCATCATAGGATTTGTATATAGTAACGTACTGAGAGTCCTGGCCCTCCAGCAACTGGCGGTACGTGGCGATTTCTTGCTCCAGGCGAGTTTTGATGTCCATGAGCATTCTGTACTCCTGGTTCTGACGCTCCATGTCACATCGAAGTTCACTCAATTGCTCCTCGACGCTGGTGATGAGGGCCTGAATCTGTGCCAGCTGTGCGCAGTATCGTGCTTCTGTATCTCGCAAGTTGGCTTCCAGTCCGGCTTTCTAAAGCAGAATAATGTCAGGTTAGCATGCAGGTTTGTCCCACAGAGGGGGGGCCTAAGGAGAGGCAAGATAGAGAGGGAGGAAGGGGAGAGCGTGCTAGCAGGGACTTGCGATGTGCTTGGGACAGCTCCGTACCATGCTGAGCTGCGACTGGAGCTCAATCTCCAGGCCCTGGACCGTGCGTCTCAGTTCTGTGATCTCCGATTTGCTGGTCTGTATCTCTTGCGTATGGGTGGCTACTTCGCGGTTCAGTTCATCGGTCTGAAAGAAAAAAACAACTGTAAAATCACATACGTATTGTATAAAAAAATGTTCAATTATTTTGAGAAAGGGAGGACCCATCCCATCTGCTGGGGCAGTAATAATGAGGCAATGCATCAGTTTGCTGTTTATTGGCGTAACTGTACCTGAGTGAGGAACCAGGCCTCAGCATCTTTACGGTTCTTCTCCGCCAGAGCTTCGTACTGTTCCCTCATCTCAGAGAGAATTCTGGTCAGGTCGACGCCAGGAGCCGCATCCATTTCCACGTTGATTGTTCCACTGAGCTGATTTGAATACTCTTTCATTTCCTGCATGGGCAGAAGGCAGAGGACACAAAAAAGATCAGGCTCTCTCTTCCCATATGCTTTCTGCCATCAGCAACCCATGCAGTGGTATGCAGTACTTTTCTTAGCAAGTATCATAGGTGGAACACATATAAAAACGTTTATCAGATTTTCTCTCATCGCATATGCTGTTCTGCTCTCTGTATACTCACACACAACACACACATATTGACGTGTAACTTATACGTGTGTTTCTTTCACTCAGCTTAACTATCTCAGTGACCTGTTGTGCTTATGAATGTCAAACTGAAACTAATAGGTCTGAACAGTTTGGAATCAGAGAAATGCTTCTTGGGACACGCTTTGGATTCTTTTAATATTACAGTTTTCTTCTTATTAATCTATAATGTTGTCATTCTGGGTTTTTTGTTTGGATTTCCCCCTCCCTATCCAAGAGGCATAAATTCCAAAGGGAAGTAATTTCCTCTCTGCACTGTTACGGACTCTAACCTCCTCATGGTTCTTCTTTAGATAGGCCAGCTCCTCCTTCAGGGTTTCAATCTGCATCTCCAGGTCAGCTCTGGACAGAGTCAGCTCATCCAGGACCCTGCGCAGGCCGTTGATGTCGGACTCTACGCTCTGGCGCAGGAACAACTCATTCTCATACCTGCAGTTCAAAAAAGAAACAAGCATTGGAATGTGTACGAGTTTGTATTCAGTAGAGCTATAAAACTGTGAAATTTTACATTGAATGTCGGAGGAACAGTGGACTGTAAATGAAAACACACATTGAAAAGAAGTGTAAAGTGAGTAAAGGTCTTTTTTTCCAGCATCCTACTATGACATATGAAAGTACATGCATTGCCATCTGATGTTATTCTTGAGGAGTACATGACTTTGCAGAACCTGATAATGATTATCAGCATCAACAGAAGAGCTGTCACACAGGACAGCCCATTTACAGTGTCCTCTCAGATTTGGTGTGAAGAAAAGACAGACCAGTTCTGCCTAGGATACTAGAGGAGAAAATATAAACCTGCAGGTACCTCACTGCAAGATAAATCAGTTGCGCAAGTATCTTTATCATCCTTTCAGCAGTGTCTGAGGTACTGCTGAGTCCATGAGCTGAATAAGCCCCAAATTACTCTTTGTCTTTCTTTTCTACATTTCAGACTCTTCGAGAGAGAACTACTGCCACCAAACAGCAATGTCTTCATGCCACTCTGTTCCTTTTAAGTGAAAATCCCAACCTATTCCTCTCTTCTTTTCCGCTGTGATTTAGGCTAGTGAAAATAGTTAAGAGCATCACTAAAAAATTAAGACACGAACTATAATTTATTGTGTAAACAGCTCAGTGATCTGGATACTGTGTTCTACCAGGTTTATATTCCAAACTCATCCTTCATCACATTGACTCAGTTTGCCAGGGGTTTTTTCATCAGAAGTTACCAAGGAAAAATACCTATCCATAATTTCAAAATGTGTCCTTCAGTGACTGAAGAACTTTATTTTCTAGATAAAAAGTAATACTAAACTTCAGAAAACTGTTGTGAGAGAGAGACAAAGAGAGAGAAGACAAATGTGCCCCAGGTAAACTTACTTCAGTCTGAAGTCATCTGCAGCCAGCCTGGCGTTGTCAATCTCCAGAACGACTCTGGAATTGTCAATAGTGGCTGCAAGGATCTGGCAATCAGGAAACACAGAAAAAGGTTGCTGTGACTGATGGTGAAATATCGTGGTCCTGAGTACATAGTAGGTAGTTACTGAGGCTGTAAACCATCAAAGAAGGCAGAGAAAAATGGACGTCTGTTGTGATGTCACTGGTTAAACGTGCTTTTTGGATTGCAATAGCCATTTCAATGCGTTACGTTGCTCTTTGGTTACACTGCAATTCTTACGGCTTTTATAGAGAAAACCCCAAAATGCTAAGCTCTTTTCCACGTACCATATGCAAACCAGAGAGCTGAGATACCTTCGTGTAAAGGACATCAGAAACATAATGAGAAAATACATTTGTACAACACCTGATCTTATCTGTAGCTAGGAGAAATTTTTTCATCCTTTGAGGCCTACCTATCACATTCTTTACTCTTTGATTACTGAATAAGTATATTGATAATTCTAAACACATTTTGCCATGTTTTGCATACTTTTAGTGCAATCATTTTAATTTCAACAAACGTCACATTTTCAGGATAAGGTATTTGCTTTTTAAATGAAGAAAAATCTACTCTTCTGCTAGAATGCTCATAACCACAATGTATTTGGGTTTAGGGATTTCAGTATTTATTTTGTAATTGTTTTCCTTTATTTTAAAGAAATGGAATATGCAGTTCCACAATTCCAATGCATTCTTATAATTCCTCTACATGTGAATGTCATACCTTGTCTCGGAGCTCTTCAATTATCTTGTAATAATTATTGTAGTCCCGGGCTGGGCTGATGGGAGCTTGCTTCTGATACCAGTCTCGGATTTTAACTTCTAAATCCGAATTTGCCTCTTCCAGTGCTCGTACCTTGTCCAGGTACGAAGCCAGACGGTCATTCAGATTCTGCATAGTTATCTTTTCATTTCCAGAGAGAAGGCCATCGCCACCACCAAAGCCACCACCAACTTCAAAACCTCCCCCAAAGCCAGCTCCTGCCCCAAAGCCAGCTCCTCCACCAAAGCCAGCTCCTCCACCAAAGCCAGCTCCTCCACCAAAGCCACTGTAGCCTCCTCCATAGCCACCACCAAAACCAGAACACAAGCCACCACCATATCCACCTCCTACAGAGGAGACATACCTAGCTGAAGAGATGGAGACACCCCTGCCACCAGATCCTCCATGTATGCTCGGAGCTCGGCAGTTTACCCCTGTTCGGATGGAGGAAAGGCGAGAGCTGCCTCCACCGCACCCAAAGCCACCACCATAGGTAGAAGAAGAGCTCTGCAGGAAGGAAGTAGCCATAGCTGCAGCACAAGAAGGTGCTAATGCGAGTTATTCAGCTTGGTGTAGAAGAGGAAAGTACGTGCCTTCACTGCCCCGTGCTTCTTTTATATCCTCAAGATAGGGTGTAGGAGACAAACCCAGCCTGCAGCCCTCCCTCCAAAAATTCTCCTCCCTAGAGGTGAGGCCGATGATGATGACATTCCTCACAAAGAGAGCTGGCTGTGCATCTCAGGGGCTAGGGCTTGGGTTTTCTTTTTTAATTAAACAAAAGGGATGATTCAGATGGGTGTTTTTTCTTCAGGCTATAGTTCTGAAACTTGGAGTTTACTTCTCTGACATTTAAGAATGGAAAAACAAAGTGAGTTCAACCACACCCACTTACCCACTTACAGCAATCACCATGGTTATTTTAAGAACATCAACTTTTTCTAAAAATGAAGTTTAAGTAAAATTCTCCTTCCATCGAAAAATGTGCAATCATCCATTCATCTGACCATTTTTTCTTCTTTTTTATCCATATTTTTTCCCATTAAAAATTTGGAATTGAATTTGATATGTCCTTATTCCTGTTCTTTGCTTGGAACCAATATTTAGATTTTGGAGTCTGAATTTTTAGTACAAAAAGCATATCATCATAGCATTGCATGAGGAGCAGTTAGCATCCATCAATGTACAAGGAAGAGTGGGCATAGTTCATTTACTAATGCTTGTGAAATAGTCAAGAAAGGTAATACGAGATTGAAATAATTCAATTAAAAGAAGAAATGCAGGAGGACTAAGTTCCTGTTACTTTTGGAAAATGTAAACAAATTGGGTCTAAGGTGAAACTGTTCAGATAGCAATTAATGTGTTTAATGCCAGCATGCACTATGAAAGGCAGTAATTCTTGGAAATAAGATTTGAGAAACACTTAGAAGAGTGCTTAATCGTAATCCTTCGTTTAAAGTGGGAGTCTGAAACATCAGTATTTTTCAAATCTAATAATTTGCTAGCAAAATTCCAAAGGCAGTAATTCAGTAATACAGCTCTGTTCAATACTGCATAATTATGGGAAGCCAGATTTGGGAGGTTTGTAAGGACGTGTTAACTGCTGGGGTGCGTCGCTGGGGTAAAGCGTGTGTGGAGAGTGAGGCAAGTGTGGAGTTTGAAGAAAGAGCCCCGTTCTCTTTGCACAAGAAGGCGTCGTTCTCCAGAGGAAAGCCACGGGCTGCAGTTGAAGAGCAGGGGCATGGTAAGATGGTACATTGGTACCGCGGCACGTAACGGTTTAAGGAAACGGAGGGTTGAGAGGAGGGAGAAAAGCAGGGACACAGTGAAGATGAGAGGAACTTTCTCTGTCTCTAGTTCAGAACCACCAAAGTTATTTTAAAATAAAACTTTGAAATGAAGAAAAATGATATGTTTGCTAACAACATAATGAGGAGGGCGTTGGTTTTAGCACAGTTTTTGACAGTACCTATCAATAGAAAATTACCTTAGAATTCGGGATGGGTGATTTCAGATAAACTGGGGCTGGTACCAGCTGTTGGAATAAACTGAGGGGTTTGCTGAAGCTGAGACTTTAATGCAGCCTCAGGGAAACGCGCAGCCTTTTTGCTAGGAAAGTTGTGTACTTGGGAGGAAAGAAACATCAAAAATCTAGCTGTGATACGCAGCTTACCAGCCTGATTCAGAGAATGTCCACTCACTCTTCAGCTGATTAGAAAAGACAGGGTGTTTCACAGTTGTGGAAACATGTTTCAAACGGAACCTGGACCTTTGCCACAGCAGTTCAGTTTTGCTCTTGGGCAGATTAATGGTTCTGCGTAGCTTGCCAAATCTGTGTATCTCCAAGAGATAGTATCTCAGGAAACAAGTTCAGACAAACTCTCCTAAAGATAAAAAAGTCTCTTTAAGACCCCTGTAATGTAAATATCCTGAGGTGTGCATGCTGCTAGGGTCTGTTTAACTCCGAGGGATCCCGCAATAAGCAAGATCAAATTCCATTTAAAAAAAAGTCCAGCAAAATCACTTCTAGAAAACACCGTAAACTTTAACAGGAAACTTTGGGGATTTTTCATTCAGTCTTCTTTCACTCAGCCTTTATAACTTCTTTGGAAGCTTGCTGGTGAAATACACTTTGCTGCTTTTTAAAGTGCCCTGTGGATTGTTCTAGATTGTTATCAGATGAACACTTACAAAAACCAAATAGCAGATATCAAGCCGTTTCTTTCCTGTAGAATGTTTACCACTGGGAAAAATAAAAATAAATCAAGCAGCCAATACAGATTATGTCCTATAACATAAGTCAGAAAACCACAGTGGTGGGGATTCTGAGGCTTTTTCAATTTTCTGTTAACCATCAAACTCAGATCCTGAGGGTGTGTCCCCCATGATCAAAAGCTTGTAAATGCAGAGTGCAGCATTTGCAGACCTGAGGCTTATCCCTGCCTTCATCTTCACTATTTGTTCTTTTGTATTAAACAACTACTTCTAAATAGTTCCTAATATTTTACTAGAAATTGTCAGTAGTATTTTCAAACCAAAGGTGAATCCAAGGAAAGGTGCCTCAACGAAGCACTGTGAAGTGTGGAGGTGGTCGGTTAGGGATCATTTATTTGCAGCTTGCTTCCGTTGCTGTGCTTCACAGGTATTTTCCTAAAGAGAAAAAAACCTTCATTTTTGAGAGCTTACTCATGAACATTGGCTCTTCTGGTGAGAGAGAAATGGTAAATCTGTCTGTACCTCTACACTGAGAGCAGCCTGCTGGCAAATGCTTGTGTGTATTCAGAATGCACTCACTCACGGTGTTTATTTATATAGATATTGTTGTTTTATTACTGTCTGCAGGTTGAAGACTTCTATATCAAAACCTAAATGCATTATATCGTTTTATAATAGACTATGTAAGGCAAAGCTTGCTTTGGTGAAAAATTATATACAATTTGGTATTTCATTAATGAAAGTATAGAAATCAAAAGTGTTTGATGAATCTAATTTCATATCTGAATTTGAACAAGTGTGTGAAAATCATCTGACTTTAGCTCAGTTCTAGAACTAGGTGTAATTCTACATACAGTCATATTCTTCTTTTCAATTATTATTTCTGCATTTAATATAGAATATTAATATATAATAATACTATGATAATATACAAAGCAAGTGATACGCTATGCAATTGCTCACCACCCGCCAGCCAACACCCAGCCCGTCCCGAGCAGCGATCGCTGCCCCCCAGCCAACTCCCCCCAGTTTCTGTACTGGGCATGACACCATAGGGTCTGGACTAGCCCTTGGGCCAGTCGGGGTCAGCTGGCCTGGCCGTACCCCCTCCCAGCTCCTTGTGCACCGGGCAGGGCATGGGGAGCTGGAAAGTCCTTGACTGGTGTAAGCACTGCTGAGCAACAGCCGAAACATCAGCGTGGTATCAACAGTATTCTCATACTAAATCCAAAACACAGCACTATGCCAGCTACTAGGAAGAAAATTAACGCTATCCCAGCTGAAACCAGGACATATCTGTGTTCTGTCTATCATTAAAAAAAAAAATCAGTTACATTTCTCTAAATTCATGAGGTTTGGAATGCTTCCAGGTTCATAACCTCTTAGGACTTTAAAGGAACATCTCCGATCGTGCTGTGGCTGTAGCGGTAGAGATCTGTGTTGCTCTGTGCATTCTTCATTTAGCTCTTTTCTGCAGCTGGAATGTGAACTTCAGTCTACAAAATTTTCTCCTTATAGTCTATACAAGGAAATTGCAGGCTACCACCTGCTGAAGTAAAAAGTGCTATCTCAAGCTTATGCCTTTATTCTGTTCTCACTATCTTCACTCTTAAGATTTCTTATCCAGTGTCTTGCCACATGGTTTCATCCTTTGCACAGTACTCAGCATTGTCCTTGTGGTGCATAAGCTCCTTGGTTTGTCATGCTTCCAGAGACCTTTCCTGAAAGACATTCCCCGACATGTCGATGCTGGGCAAACGCTTTTATTACTTCTGTGACGGGATTAACGCAGTTGACACGCTTTAGCCCCTCCTTTCAGGAGGACAGAGTTCCATTCAAGAAGCAGCTTGTTTCTCACCTCAGTCTTTGCTCATAAAGCCATCACTCAGACATTACATACCTTTAGAAGACACTTTTTTTCTGAACCGAACTCTAAAATTATAGTCTCTGAGTGATTTTATATTAAACATTTCACCGGAAGTCCTTCATTACCCTACAAAGATGGGACAAAATCAATAAAACTATAAACTAAAATTCAAATTAGGCTATATAAACAAGAATGCTAGCCTTTTCAAGATTCTTTCAAGTCTCTGAAGCCCCCAATTTCTTTAGCGGGGTTTATGAATTCATTCAATTCTTGGCACTTTTAACCTCTTAAACACTTTTAAACTGTTAACCTTTTAAACATCTTTTTTTCTAAACATGCATTTAATTCAGTCTTTGAAAAGAACACTTTTTGGTCCAAATATACATTTGCAAAGTGTCCTTATAACTTGCAGTTTGCATTCTTGGAGCATGAGAACTTCTTGTTGGACTTTCATATTTGCAGCTATACAGCACGAGAAATCTGCACCAGTGAGCTCATACTCTGCCTGGTTTTCTCACAAGAACTTGCTCTCAGGGAATGGGATTTGTTAAGATTAAAAAACAGGAGTTTGTTCTTTCATCTGGGAGGGATTACAGGTCTAACTGTTGTAGGGAGTAAATTTGGTACAAAGGATTTATTAGAAAGTGTGTCAGCACTCAGGAGAGCCTGCACCGAGCATTTAATGCACGAGAGCTTGCTTCTCCTTGCTCTTCCAAAAGCAGACACCGTGTCAAAGGCGAGCTGCTGAAGAACCACTGGCGTCGTGTGTATGCCAGTGCTTTTCATGCCGCTGCTCCTTTTCGATCCTGCACTTGTTTCCTCCAGAGCACCTTAGTCCCCCTGTTCTTCCCATCTTGTCCTCTTCTCTGTCTCTCTTCGCTGATTTTTACTTTTGGTGACTGTTTTTCTTTCCTGTCATAGCTTTTCCCTGTCATGGTGAAGCCACTGCCTAATGCTGTCATGCTAGACTTCCAGAGGCTGAGCTGGGGTTGTCTCTGTCAGTACTTGGCAGCTGATGTTGTCACTGCTGAACCAAAACCAAGCACCGGCACGTCCTGAATTGAAGAGGATTGCCCAGCCTTGATAGAGGAGGTCCAGAGCTTTGGGATGCTCCTTGCTATGTGAACACTCCATTAATCTGTTATGAACACGTAGTTATGAAGAAGGGTGAAATAATTTTTCCCTCCCAAGTCCAAGGAGAGAAATGCTGAAGGATTTGATGGTGTCTCCCTGAAACACAGGCTGCAAGATGATCCGCGCTGCAGGAGTGCGGTATCGGGGTACTTCTAGTCTGGGCATACTGTCGTTTCAGTTTCACCCTCGGCTGCCTAGCTACCTGCGTGCCTTTTGTAATAGTGGGAGGTGGGGATGGGATAGTTAAGCTATAGCCATGATTTTCTTTGAGCACAAACCCTCAAAAGTTTCCTTGGCTGTAAGCTTGCGGAGGGATGGTTGGAAGCGAAATTACTGATTTCTGGAGGCTTGAACTCAAAGTGATTACATGTAGAATTTCAGCTAGGATAATATCCTTTCAATGGCACGAGAATGAAGGTGGCTAAAATTGGTGCTAAAGGTTTGTTACCTCTGTACGAACTGGGAAAGTGAGTGAAGAAATCTCACAACTGTTTCTCATTCCTGTTTGTTTCTGTAGGAGTTATCTTCAAGCCATGTTAACAGCTTTGTATTTTACCCTAACAAAATGTCTCTTGCTTCTTACCAGAATCACTTAACTTCTCACTGTTACTGCTCTTCAGAGCGCACAGCCGTTGTAGTTAGGAACACAAGTCACTCCTGCGTTCCCCGCTCTGAGGGGCTGAGGATGCTGTTGCCTCCGTATTCAGAGCTCCTGCCAGGAAGAGGAGCTCGGAGGAGTCAGAGAGGGAGCTCGAGCCACCCACCCACAGGCACTGTGAGCACCAACCTGTCAGGGAGGCTGGCGAGCTCTTTCCTGCCTGATGAAAGCCAAACCTCAGTAACAATATCACGATAACCCAAAAGAAGCTAAGATTGCAAGAAGATGATCATCTTTATTAGAGTAGATACAGCAATTCAGTACATGAAAGAACTAGAAATAATTGAAAAGCTAACCCAACTCGCAAATTAATCACCACTACATGGATGAATCTACTTAAACTTTGTGTGGCCAAGAGTTTTTTATGCTTTAAGACAATAATTTCCAGCAGTTTAGAGTGATTCCTCCCTGTTTCTATTCCTGTGTGTTGTCTGCTCCTTCTCATGTCGAAGATGACATTCGGAGGACTTGCGGCACTATTTTCCACCTGCCAGCTTGTCTCTTTTGTCTACAATAATATGGAGAGAAAGAACAGCAATTACTTAAGCATGACACACATGAGACCACTCTGCAGTGGGCGCTGAGCTTAGTTTATGTGTCATCTCTCATTCCCTTCTCTCAAAAGTTTTCTCCTTCATAGCATTGATTTGAATCATACACCACTTTTACAATACAGCTGACCTTTAAAGCTCAAGGCAAGTTTTACTTGCATGTTCATACAATTTCCCTGAGCTGGCCAAGCTTAAATTTCTTGTATCCTTTCATCTGGGGGAATGATTAAGCATTTTGTGCTTTACTTAGCCTTTGCAGTAGCATAGTCTGAGATTTTTTCCTGATGTCTAACATCTTTTAATGAGTGAAATTTGTTAAATTATAGCCAGAGTTATCATTTGTTACTTATTGGATTTTTTTCTGTGACACAAATCAGTGCAGCAGCCCAGTCTCTAGAATGGACACAACTACCATAACGTATGCGTGTTTCCTTTTAGAAAATCAAACTTCTTTGACTCCTAAAGGTTTCCTGAAAGAGAAGGAATTCTTACCGTCAGTTCCAGAAAGGGAGCCAAACATCCTGTAGAACAAAGAGATAACAGTTGAAAGGAGAGGTAACACATCAAATGCTGCGTGAGGTGAGGATGTATGAAAGCAAATTCTCTCTCAGGTACATCTTGTATACAGGCAGAGAAGAGATGGTCATCTCCTTGCTCTCCCTCTCAGCTCAGGAGAGGGAACTGTTGTAGGAAATATATTTTTAAACAACTGCCACGGGAAAAGACAATTATGGAAAAAAAGGAATAGAAGAAATCAAAACCTTTCAACTCCTACCTCATTTTTTTGTTGCAGGCTATGAGATATCTTCCTCCTTGAGGCTGTATGTGAAATGACAGATAGCTGTGCTCCCATGTGGGAGGTCCACTTAATGGCTGTCTGAAAATAGCTAGCTTGTCTGCCTTCACTTCTCTTCAGAATATTTTCTCCTACACTATTCCTATGAGGCAAGAGCTATTTAACTGGTAACAGGACGTTTATAGGAATTTGGTGTTAATCCTTATATTCTATAAAACATTACTAACTGCACTATGTTTCCTGAATGTCAAGCAGCTAATGATTAGTTACCACCTCAGCTGTTGGTTGCATTTAATCTCTTGTACTGCCTGTCAGTTTGTCTTTTCGCTTAGAAACTCTTTGAGGTATTCACTTAATACAACTGGGCATTATAACAATTCTAGCTCCACTATGGTCCAGAAAAATTAATTCATTAAAAATTTTAGAGCCCCCGGTATATTTGAAGTTGTGTTTACTGTGGTGCTGTGGCAAATGAGCACCATGGCATGGTCAAACTTGATGAGGCTAAGCAAAAGGGTTTTCTGCAATGAGCAGAGTTACTTACTGGGACTCCTGGCCTTCCAGGAGTTGTCGGTAAGTAGTGATCTCTTGCTCCAGTTGAGTCTTGATATCCATGAGGATCCTGTATTCACTGTTCTGGTGCTCCATATCAGCTCGGAGCTCAGCCAGCTGCGCCTCGAGGCTGTCAATCAGGCCCTGGAACTGCGCCAGCTGGGCACTGTAACGCCCTTCCGTCTCCACCAAGGTGCCTTCCAGCGCAGCTTTCTGAGGGCAGAGAGGTTGGAGGGGAAACCACAAAAAGGTTGCTGCCAGATGCAGGACTCCTTCTAGGGAGGGGAATGTGTGCCTGTTTCAGTGGGGGGGGTCATGCAGTGCAAATTTTAACGTACCATGTTGAGCTGGGACTGAAGCTCTAATTCCACCCCTTGGACGACGCGTCTCAGGTCAGTGACGTCGGACTTGCTGCTCTGCAGTTGTTCGCTACTGACAGCTACTTCATGGTTCAGCTCTTCAGCCTGAAACAGGGAAAACATTACATCAGGAATATGGGGCCTCTAAGCAGAGGTCATAAGACTTCCGCAGCAGTTTTCTGTGTGTTTTAATAATTATTTTGTTCCTTTCATGGATTTTTTTGTTAGTATTTGTATAGCATGGAGTTTTTTCTACCTTCTTGTGGAACCAGGCCTCAGCGTCCTTCCTGTACTTCTCAGCCATGTGTTCATACTGGTCTCTCATATCAGCCAGGGTCTTGGACAGGTCAATGCCTGGAGCAGAGTCCAGTTCAACATTGACTTGGCCAGCTACTTGTCCTCCCAGGGCACTCATTTCCTATGTGGGCACGGCAGAGGAAGACAAAAGAGGGTACAATCAGAAACTGAAAACATTACGGACCTTCCATTCTTTCTTCAAGGGCTAAGGTCTGACTGACTCCCCTTAAGGACTTGCAAGGGGTATCTTTAGTTTCCCAGTCTACACAGAAATCTTTTCATCAGTGTTGGAGAGCCCAGGGCAATCCTGAGGGACTCCGCATTTCCACACGCTGTTTTTCTAATGTCACTTTCAAACACGTTTCTTGGGGTTTTTTTACCTCCTCATGGTTTTTCTTTAGGTAGACCAGCTCCTCCTTTAAGTTTTCAATCTGCAGCTCCAGGTCTGTTCTAGCCAGGGTGAGCTCATCCAGGACCCTGCGCAGGCCATTGATGTCAGCCTCCACGCTCATCCGAAGAGCTCGCTCTGTTTCAAACCTTAAAAAAGCAAACCAACACTATTCAGGTTAGCTGATTAAGCCAGCCCACCGTGAAACACATTATTTGCTATAAATGTATCTGCTTTTGTAGGATTTATGATGTAGCAAACATCGTCCAGCGTTAAACTTTTCTCCACATATTTTACATGACATAAAATTTTCTGTGGTGCAGATGGAGCTTTCAGCAAATACATAAGGGGCTGAACTGCAACGACAGGATCAAACTAGTGTTCATATAGAGATTTTGGAGGCATTCCTTTCTTTTTTCACAGCCACTGCCTTTTGGCTCAACAAGGGTTTTTGCCTGCTCAAGAGACCTTTTTCCTTTCAGAAATCGCTCACTTGGTTTTGAAGTCGTCAGCAGCCAGCCTGGCGTTGTCAATCTGCAAGACAATCTTCGAGTTGTCGATAGTGGCATCAAGGATCTACAAACAATGAGAGTTCATTGCTGAGGCTGAAATAACTGTGTTATCTTCTTTCCTGATCTGAAGATAAAAGAGTTAAGATTCTAGTTCATCTGTAGTTACACCAAATAAAAGTGTCTTTTATTTGGTCTCAGTAGGAAAGTATCAATGATCTATAGCAAATATGTAGCACAGATTTATCACAGTACTTTTGCCATGATTGTCAGTTATGGGTAGGTCCTCTTACTCTTGGCTGGCATGTGAAGTGGCTCTTAGCTAGAAGTCCCAGAGTGAGACGAAACTACGTTCTGTCGAGAAGAAAGAGGACTTTGGTGAGCCGGGGGTAGGTGATGTTTTAGGACTGAGGCAAGAAACCTCTTTCCTGGAGAGATGCAAAGGAAGCAAAGTCTGCAGACCCCTCTTGGCAGAATTTGTTCTCATTACACGTTTTCTTAACAGTGGGAAGTGATCACAAGACCTGTATGATATCAAAATAAACAGCGTGTTTGTGTTTCCTAAACAATATGGGTTCATATTGCATCTGTATCGTCTTTGAACACATTTTTATTTCCTAGAATATCCAGGATAGTGTATATTGATTCTTCTAATGCGTCATGAAAGCCCCTAAAAGAAATTTTGTTTATTCAGAAGTAATCCCTGTTGATTTTTACCTAGAAAGCATGTCTTTTTTGCCTGCCACTTTTAAAACTCAAAAGATCATTCACAAAAAGAGCTGGAACAACATTTTCTCTCCGCTAACTAAGGGGAGTAAAAGACAGGAGGGACAAGAATACTGAAAGGAGAAAATCGAATTGCCCGTTCTGCCTTTACTGGAGCTCAGTTTTTGAAGTCAGTAGAGAATGTGAATGGGTTGAAGCAAGGAGAAACTAAACTCCATGGGAGCGGTCATGAACTCCGAGCTGAACAGCAAAGCTAAACCTCTAGTTTTCTTTCATTTATTTACATAGTTTAATCCGCTGCTACCTTTGTTTTCCAGGGTGTGTATCATCTCGCAGTAATCTGTTATCAGGTACCCATGGGCTATTGGGGCAAATCCTGCATTTATATATGGGATTGATTACTTCATGTCTGCTGCTTCCTCCTTCCACAAGCCAAATGTTTCAGCAGTCTTATTTCAATTTGAAGCTTAAGTAAGTGAAATGTGAAAGAAAAATAAATGTGTGGTGATGAAATGTTGAGCTGCTCTCTTCACATGTACAAAATTGTACTTAACCCATTTTTATTTTTACTGTTAAAGCAGCGTGTATGTGCCTCTGAAGTTTTTCAAGCTATGTGGCAGATAACAGACTACAGAGTTAGGCAGGTCGCTGTCATTGTTTGGCTCTCTATATTTATCAGTATATATATGCTCATACATATATTAACTGGTCATATACGTGTATATGACCAGCATGCGTGTATATGTTTGTGTGTGCATGATTCTTTAAAAGCAAGCGTTACCAGACAATGAACTACTAAGGCATCTAGACTGACTGCTATGTACATTCTCTTAGCTAACATTTAAAAAAGTAGATAATTCCATACTGCTAATTTTCTTTATCCACCCCATCCAATCATTACACACCCCGCCCAATCATTACATATTCATTTCATCTTCCTCTCCTTTTCATAAACTGCAATGCCTTCTGGGTGTTTTCCTAGTGAAGTTTTTCTCTTTGGGTTTTTATGCTTCCTTCCTAAGTGAAAATCTAAGATGATTTTTAATAAATATTAACACCTACCTTGTCTCGAAGGTCTTCGATAGTCTTGTAATAAGGACTGTAGTCCCGAGCTGGGCCTGGTCCTTGTTTTTGGTACCAGTCTCGGATTTTAGTTTCAAGATCAGAGTTCGCCTCTTCCAGTGCACGCACTTTGTCCAGGTAAGATGCGAGGCGTTCGTTCAGGCTTTGCATAGTTGCCTTTTCATTTCCTGAGAGGAGGCCATCACCGCCACCCAATCCACCACCATAACCACCACTAAAGCTGCTGCTAAAACTGCTTCCGTATCCACCACCCAGGCCGCTTCCTAGGCCAGAAGAGACAAATCTAGCAGAAGAGACTGCCACACCCCTGCCACCAGATCCCCCATGGATGCTTGGAGCCCTCAAGCCACCTCCACCGAAACGGACCGAGGAGCCACCAGGCCGCCCTGCCACAGAAGAGGTAATTTGCCTGACGCTGTAAGTGGCCATGGTGAGAAATACCAAGGACCCAACCCAAGCTGCAGCTCACACAGGCTGTGATCCTGAGGCAGGAGTGTGTGCTCCTTTCCCCCACCCCACCTCTTTTATTCCTGTGACAATGGGAGTTGTCTCCAGAACCGTGTTATCTGAGACCCGTGGAATTTATCAGCCTTAAGCCTTCTGCCAACACGGCAATTCTTCTTATTGGTCAGTTGCTATGAAATGGGCTGTGTTTCTTTCCCACATACCTTCCCGCACAGGAGCTGATTCCCTCCCCCTGACCGTTGCCTCTTGAAGCAAAAGGTGGGATTCAGAGGCGGCGTCACCCTGCTGAGGGGGGCATTCAGAAGTCTGGTTATAGTTTACCTACCTGGAAACAAAAGGGCTGGGAGCACCCAGCCCCGCTGCAGCCAACGCTGTGTCCATACCAAAGTCACACGACAGCTTGCTTCATGTGATCTCGGGAAGGAGTTTTAACACAGACTGATTAAGTTAGTAACAGGTAGACTGATAACAGAGCTTGAAAGGAGCCCCAATGGTGAACAATATGTGTGGACCTTGACAAAACACGTATTAGAAACCCAGAGTCTTTCAGACGAGACATGTTCTCTGTCAGACCCTCCCTTCTGGTTTCTACAGGAACAAGAATCCTTTCCAAGGAACGATAGCTGTATTTGCAGCAGAGATAAACATTAAACTTCCCTGAGTACCTGGGGAGTGAGCAACAACAGAAACAAGTGCCTGAGTATACATCTAGTCCTTTCCTTGCTGCTGAAAGAGAGAAGTAAACAGAAGAAACATGATCACTTAGTCTTCTGGTCTTTGAGATTCATGAAAACGTTATGTCCAAAATGTTTAAATCCTCTGTTACCTGAGATGCATTTTCAAAAGCAATGTTGCTTTTGTTACTGCAGGCTCCTCCGTGAGCATCCCGAACATATGAATGGATACTTACACCTTTTCTTCCGTTCTCTTTCTTTCGCTTGCCGCCCCTCACTCCCTCCAGACTTCTGGGACTCCCCAGGAGAACTGCTTTAAAGGCAAAGGCAGTAAGCTGGCCTAGCAGCATTTGCAGCTTTCTGGGAGCAACCAGGCCTGGGCAGAAATTCTGCCACCTACAAGTGCTTGCACTAAACAGAACCTTTGGAGCACAAGATGCATGCTGTGATGTTTCAGTGAGAAAGGCATTAATACGAAAAGAAAGAATTAAAGATAAGCCAAATGAAATGCATACTCTGTGTGAGGGCCTGTCTAGTCTTTCTATACCAATAAAAAACGCATCAGGTATTTTAGACCACACGTTAGTGCTGTACTCACTTTGTACAGAGAGAAATGACAAACTGCAGGGCAACAGCAGGAAATTGGCTTCATTTTCTTTTAACCTTACATCTCTCTTTTCCCTCAATGGCTGCATGTGTTTGGTTTTGTTGGGACTCCCTTAAGGTGGGAACATGTACTTAAATGCTTGGAAAAGCCTTTAGTATGGCAAAGTATTTGCTCAAGAAAGAAGGTGCTTTTATCAGTCTGCCTAGTTTTTTTTTTCTCCGACTACCATAAACTTGGTTTATTGGAGGGTTAGCTTTTCCCTAAAGGAAATACAAGGAATGGTCACCAAGGGGCATTTCCTTTATCTGCAACTTAGCCGAGGGTAAGGGAGTGAAGTCATCCAGCAGGCTGGTGGCAACAGTCCACGCCCGCGCTCCTGCCTGAGACCTGGTTCTGCTTTACCTTTATCTGCTCTGCTTTACTGGTCACTACTGCTTTATAAAATGGTTCCTATTCTTTCAGGGTATTTTTACTAATTGTCCTGTAAACCATTTTTTATTGCCCTTGAGTGACACTGGCATATACTTCACTCTTCTCACATCCCGCTAAATTGGCTTCCAGGGATTGCTAATGCAATTACAATTAAATGAACTCTGTGAGCATTTTAACCTACATTATTGGTGCCTGCAGCTCCACAGATGCTTCTATGGACGAATGAGGGAAGTCAGGTTATTATTCTGAATTTTCCTTTTAAATCTTTAAGTGTTTGTCCCTTCTGATAATTCTTCCTTTCTACCTCAGCTTCCATCAGTGAAAATGTGCTTCTTGACTCTTTTGTATGCATATTTTCGGTCCTCATCTCTTCTCTTGCTCCTCAAAACTTTGGCCACCCCACCCTACTGATCATGGCATAGACCCTCTTAAGATCACAACTGTGTATGTTTTTCTCTCCTGTTGGAGATTATAGGCATGAAACGTTTGAATCTCTTTAATTCAAACACAAACTTTTCTATTTTTTCTTTAAACTTCTTTGTGGGAAGAACCCATGAGAACAAGAACTGATGTGCAGCTGGTACTGGAATGACTGTGTTGAATGCCTGCCTGAGCTACAGTTCTTAGCTTCCTTGTTTTTATATCCTATCATTAATCTTTTTTTTTACTCCTCACAAACCTTGCATTGCCACATATTCACTGAATGTTCCAACAGATTGAAAGACAGGAATGTTTATGCGCTGAAAAGGCAGGTCCTAGCACATGCACGCACAGCTGTTCGCAGTTTAAAAAGAGGGTAGATAAGAGCAGAGAGCAACACTGTTAACTTTCTCAGAATCACTCTTTTTGCAAAACAGAGGGAATGTGATTTGGTGAAGAGAAATGCACGTGGGTGCCCCGATTTCTACATTGAAAGAGATGAGAAATAAGGTCATGTAAGGGTTCGGTTTTAAAAGAAATTACGGGAGTAAGGCGCAGGACAACTCATTTTTATCCAGGGATCTAGTTCTTTCATGGCAGAAAGGAAACCAGGTTTCAAAGATTTGAGCTGAACTTGAAGGGTACGGATCCCTGCTCAGCTACAGGCTTCTTTAGTGATATTGGGACATAAAAATTAATTTCTCCATGCTTGTTATTTATATAATATTTGAATACATTAGTACGAGGAAAATAATAAAAGATCATGAAGAACCCAAACACTTAAATAACTGGGAGCAATGTAAATACTTGGCAGATACTTGAAACTGGATGTGGTGTGTACTTTTGGCAGTACCTCCTTATTGTCTCTTGTTTCCCTAGAAACAGAAAGAGTTTTCAACTCTTGACTTCTCTATCAATCCAGAACTATAATGGTAATGCACATCTGGGAGTAAAGCACCTGAGACAGGAAAATAAAATAGATTTTCTTATAGCATAATTAAAAATTGTGTGGGAAGAAAGGATCAGTTAGGACACCAAGCCCTGATTAGTGAAAGACAAGTCACTGGGTATATTTTTACACTTCCTTTAACCTGTTATCTGGTTGGTAAATCTCAGCAAGGTATGGTGGGGCTGGAAACTATTATTGAAGTCAGACGTCTAACTGACGAGAGGTCAGGTTTCTGCAGGCAGCGGCAATAAGCAACTTAGAGGCCACTGCCAAAACCAAATCAACTAAGCCTGTCCCAGGCTTCAGAGAAACCAGCTACGTGTTGAATGCTTGCCGTGTCGGCTGCAATCGTTCACGCTGAAGGAGGAGGCCTAGAGCTATTCAGAGGGCATTTTCCCATAGGCCACATGGAAAATTCCTACTCAAAAAAAAATCCCAGACTTGGTACAAACACAGAGGAGATGGGTTTCATAGCGCAGAGAGAAACGAGCTGGTTTATTCTGTTCATGTCTGTAAAACATTTGAAGAGCATATTTGTATTTGTACTACTTACGTTTATGTGCTCGTATATTTATATGCATATGTTTATGTATTTGTATTTATATACTTAAATATTATTATTTCTCTTGCTGATTTTATAAGAATATATTTTGATCATAGTCACAAGCCAGGGCTTCCAATAAGGGTAGAGGTTTTACTGCGCAAGCATTAAACACATGTTCTTCATCAAATTAGAAAACAAGGAGCTCCCTTTGTACCCTGCTGATGGATCCTGTCAACTGGATGTGGGCTTTCCTGATCCTACAAGTGGTTTCATACTGGTTTTTGCTCGAGATAAATTCTCAGACTCTCTAGATCTCTGTTAGGCTCAGTGAGAAAATCAAACTCTGCATTGCTCTATGAGGGCAGCTCCTGTAGCCACTGCTTTGAAGAGCAACTGCTAGGGAGGCATTTTTAAAACAGCTTGGTCACGTAGCAAACACGTTCTGCAGCTCTGGTTTTGTCTGCCCAGAATGACTGCATACCTTTAGGGAAGGAAAAGGGTATTTCTAGTTACTCTAGCAGTTTGCTCCATTTTCAAAAAGTAGTAGTTTATAGGCAAATTTCCCAGTAGTTGAGTGTATCGGGTAGGTTACCTTGCTGGACAGTCCTGGCTATGAACTGTAACTGAGAACCATGGTCTTCCACCAGCCTCTGGCACTCGTATTCAGCTTTAAATCTTCGTTTCATTAAACACTGCGGTCTGCGCCAACTGTCTGGATATTTTGGGCAGCCCACCACCACCAAATCAAGCTGACTGAAATACTTGCTGAGTGTCTTTTCACTCTTTTCTAAGGGATTCAGCTTTAATAACTAATAAAAACTGTAGGATTCTGGGGACATGGTTTCTAACAGCATTTTCAACAGAAAGGAATTGTCAGCATTTGTTTAAAATCTTTGCGTGTGTGTAATCACTGTGAGCTTTTTGGTACTGCCATAATTTTTGACAGCCTGACATCGGGTTGTGGGAAAGAACTGAACTGAGATTAGAAATGTTGCAAGAAGATGTTGATTAGTAAGGCTGTAAGTGCCTTTGATCCACAGTCGCACTCCCGCTGCCAGGGCTGTTGAAGCGCAGGAGTGCATGCCAGTGGAAAGGTGTTCCCTGCAGCCAGTCTTAGCAATGCATCTCTGAGCGTGGGTTCCTAAATAGTGGGTTATTAAGCGTAATTGCAGTGTGCATAAACTTCTCTTTAGGCAGTACTAAATAAGTTATTCAAGCCAGCTCTGGTGCACCTGGAATTGCATGTTCACTGTAACAACCATGAGAGAGCATTTGCCCTTAATGGCAGTCATAGCGTGAAAATACTTAAAGAAATTCAGAAGTTTGTTGGGATTACCACTCAAAAATGTTGTGTATTACAGGAAACTTAATGGAAATATGTTACTGGGAATACAGAAAGAAAGGATTTTCCTACAAGAATTTTTGCGCTTGCTTAACTTGACTGCTATTATTTTTCATGATTATGGCAGGCTGGTTAATGTGAGAAATATCACAAAAGTAGCTTCCTTTCATTTGATTTTTGATCACAGGCACAGCGAATCACAGATTTTCTTTTTTCATTACTTAAGAGTGGTGGCGGCCAAGAAGGAAGTCTGCCTCGCAAAAGGCTGGCTGCAGTGAAGGGGCTTGGCCAGGCTGCAGGCAGCAGGAGCTGTCTCAGTGACACCGTTTCCTTGTAGCCAGAGCGCAAGAGACTTTGGAAAGAGGGAGCACAAAGCTGCGAGACTTAGAAGCACTGGGCTGTTGTACCTGCCCGTGCCTGGCAGCCGCCTTTGCAAACGAAAACATTTGCTGCGGGTCTAGATCCTGCAGGTACGTGGTAGCCCTGATCCAGCATGAAGCCCCTCAGAGAATTCAGCCCACTCATTTCAGGTTCTTGTTCTGGATTCTTCTCTGTCCAGCTATTGCCCCCTCTCATCTTCATCTAACCTCCTGAAAATGTTCTATTATGCAGGTGGACATGATTAATTTGCAGAATTAAGAAACTCAGGCACACCCAAAGATTATAATGCACAATACCTTTGGTTGCTTTTGGAAATAGTACAAAATGTCGGTATCTCCACAGTCCCCCCTACAGGCCTGTTCTTTAAACACAGCACCGTTTAATTGAACCTCATTCTTAATAAAATTCTTCTCCTCTTCGCTTGGTAATACCAGGCTCCCTCCCTGTCTGTGGCAGCCACTGTGGCTACTAGATGTGTTGAAAACAGAGACAAAACAACTCCAGCGCTAACTAAACGCATGCAAGAACAATCCAGGAGGTTTTGACTTAATCTGAATTTGCTGATTTCATATGGAATGACCTCAAAACCTTCAGGCAGGATTATGCGAAACAGATGCTTCCTCCTTTCTCTTCCCTGTCCTTCGTAATGAATTAATTACTAACCTTTTTACTGTCTGTCTATTAATTTGGTTTATTACCTCATCTGGTATCACAATGTTACCCCTGTGAAAAACGTATCTACTTTATTATTATTTCAGCTGTTCTTTCCTTGGCCTCACCGTTTCCCAGGTCTGAGGCTTGAACTGAATTTTGAGACTGTATTGAAAAGCTTCCATCACAAATCCTATTGTATATGTTCTGAATTTGCCACTAGAGGATGCTGTGCGAGCCGCCACGCTGTATGGCCTGACCCTGCGTTGTCAGCTTCAAGAAGGCCTCTCCCTTCTACCCAACTGTAGGGCTGTTTCTGCTGTGTGGTTAGCCAAAGGAACGGAACTACGCTGAACCACGGGAGAGCTGAGTACAGTATTCCCTTGCATCGACACTGCAGATGTAGACTGATTTCAGCTCATTTCATCTAGGTTTGATGGGCTTTGATATTACGATGGGCAAATTATGCTCTGGTAAGTCCTGCCTGATAACTCCATCCAGCAAAGTCAAAGGAAAGCCAGAGGCGGGTGTGCTCGGCTCAGCGGTGGACACAGCCTCAGTTCATTGCTGTTAAAATGCTCCGCAGAGCCTGAGGGCAGCACACGCAGCACCGAGGTTTCTCCCCTGTCCCACTTAAGAGTGACAGCAAAAGAGAAGCAGGAGATGCAAGAACGTTCCTGACAGACAGCCCAGAAAACAGCTGGCTCCTTTCTGGGGTCAGAAACATTCTTTCTATTTAAACTGTGGTCAGATAAGGTATTTCATCCCAAAGTCCATTATAGCTGGTTAGTGCTGAGGTTTAAACCTTGTTTTTTTGAGGGAGTCAGCACTGGTGGGTATGAGAAGTAAAATGGAGCAGGAGGCGGAACAGGAGTCTCTGTTGGCTTGTACAGCAGCGTGAGACTCCTGTTGTGACTCAAGGGAGAGGTATTTTTGCTTTGACTTTACAAATGTCCTTTGTTTCCTAGGGAAATAGTTTCTCTGAGTCATCTCTTTTTTCTGCTGTGTTGAGAATTCAGCTTTGGATTGTAACATGTAGACAGTTTGATGCCTTTTTAAATAATACATTGTCATCCAAAAAGATGATACTTTACCTGACCTGAATCTGTTTGCAAACCAAAGTGCCAGTGCAAAGCTACTTGACAGAATAAAAAATGTTAGTGATTTATGTGCCCTTCAGAGAACAATGACGGCTTGTGAGACCCACCCTTACTGGTTCCAGGGCGGCAGCTGAATCACTCCTCTGATATGTGGTAGACCCTGTTCAGCTACTTTCTCAGCCCATTGCAAATCAACGACTGAAATACAGATTTTGTAGGTTTTAAATGGGTGAGATAGTTCCCCAATTTTTCTTCCTCTGTCTAGCGTAAGTGTGTTAGATGAAGTGGAGAAGTTTTAGTAAGAAAGATTGAACCTTGCTTCCACCCCTCCGGCCTCCATCCTTCCATCCAGAATGCTGTACAGCCGCGGAGCTAGGAATACTGTCTTTGAAATAAAGAGTACAGACTTCCTGTATTTTGAACCATCGGATAAAAGACCTGAGCCCAGACCTTCCAACGTGTCAGGAGGAATAATCCTAACAATTGAACTTTGTGTTATAAGGAGAACTTCTTTGCATACTCATCACTCATTCCCTGATCTAATCCTTTGCTTTTATTGAACGAGATTAGTCCGAGCCCTCATCTAAAAGTTGGGAGAGAGGGCTGCCTGAATATGATTGATTTCTCATTCAGTGACCCAAAGGCAAATGGTTTTGATTTGCCAAAATTTTAATGAAATTTTGGGTTTAATTAATCCTGATTGTTTCAGTTCAGCTGCTGAACTGGCAAATCAGCTACTTGCACATCCCTTGCAATGTACGCTATGAAAAAAGGTTTCACCCGTCCTTTTTTCTTCCCTACAGGTGTCACTCTTGAGTTTAACGTGAATGTATTCGTTCATCTCCAATATTTTATCCAGACATCTCTGATTAAGTTAGGATACACAATTTTCTTTGGGGCCATATTACATAATACATCCGACCTTAATTTCTCTGTGAAGGTATATCTCATTTGTTCCACCTAAATTTAAATAAAATATTAATATACCAAATAGATTGTTGGAGAGACAGTTTTCTTTGCATTGCAGAAAAGTTTATTAGAGGCACTGTTATCAGCAGAAAGTAGATCACCAATTGCTCTGCAGATAAGTGTATGTAGATACAGTGATTGCAGATGAAGAACAATGAAAAAAGGAAGAAATAGATAATTTTAGGAGCGTCCTAGAAGTTATTCATCTTGACTTCATGAATAACATTGTAGAGCAGTCTGTGCGTTGGGTAGGTACACAGTGATGTCCTCTGCGTGTTACCGCGTTGTAGGCCGGGCTGCTCAGGTGGCAGTGGGTAGGTCAGGGAAGACCAACGCATCGGTGGTATCTTAACACACTCTTGACTGCCCTGTGGAATGAAAGAAGAAACCATTACTCTGATGGGCAAATCAAGAGTCTTTGCAGCACTGACATTTCAGATGTATACATTCTTTAAATATCCATCTGTGTTAGCAAAAGCGGGGGAAAGGAGCTTAGCCTGATTCTGTAACTGAAGCTAAGACACCTTGAAATTAAGAGATTTGATTGTGAATGGTTTAATCCCTGTTGCAACTGCAAATGTGGAAGCCATAACACAAGGGATAATATTAACAGGAAAAGAGATGAAACAGAAAATATGAAAGCCATGGGGACAGGATAAATTAGGATCCTCTTTGGAAGATGTTTCTTACCTGTCTTGTCACCAGATTGACCATGAGAGTAGGAAGTAGAAGAATAAGAGTGGGAGGATATTCCTCCTCCTTGGAGAGCTCCTTGAGATGATCTGTGCAAGGAAAGGAGTTTTAATGAAGAGAATGATAAATACATTCATAAAGAGACATACTACGAAATAATGTGCAGTGCACATGTAACAGCTTGGCTTCTCCTGGACCTTCCAAGTATTTCTTTATATTTTTTATTTCATTCCCTTCAGCTATATTTTCTTAGAAAGTTGTAGAAGCAGAAAAAGACTGTAGGAGTATAATTCTTCTACTCTCACAGTCCAGCTGCGCTTGCTCATCTGTTGCCAGAAGGCAGTACATTATGGCTTGGTTTTGCATGGTGGTTCCTCTCATGGAATTCACTCTGCCCAAACAGGCCAAGAGGAACTGATCACCTGAAAATATGTCAGGTACTGAAAATAACTCTGTGTTTCCATCTGTGTTTGATGTGCTTATTAAGTTTATGATATATATATTTCAATGCAGATGCTGTGAAAAAATCTGTTGTATTTAGATTTCAACTACAGACTGGTAAAACATCCTGCTGTGTCTTCTGTGAGTCCCATTAGAGAAAAGACTGTGATAGAATTTATGCTCTTATTTGCGAACAGAATACGTACACAATGTCTTGCTGTCCCTCCTGCAGCAGTGCCCGGTACTGAGCAATCTCCTGTTCCAGGCGGGTCTTGATGCCCAGGAGCATCTTGTACTCCTGGTTCTGGCTCTCCATCTCACAGCGGATGCTGGCCAGCTCCTCCTCTACAGAGTGAATCTGCCCTTGGATTTGTTGCAGCAGGCAGCCGTAGCGAGATTCGGTTTCTGCCAAGGAGTTTTCCAGGGAGTTTTTCTGGAAGTGGAAATGCAGGAGTTTAGGACCAGAGCTCTGCCCCTCCCTGCCCAACGCGGGAGTTTCCCGTTGCGAGGAGGGAAGGGCCCGCGGCGATCCTGCCCCACGTACCGTGCTGAGCTGCGCCTGCAGTTCGATCTCCAGGTTCTGCATTTCGCGTCTCAGTTCCGTGAGCTGGTGGCTGCTCGTCTGGATGTCCTGGCTGCTAGAAGTGACCTGCCGGTTGACTTCTTCAATCTGCGGGAGTCAAACCCCAAAGACACTTTCTGAGTGAGAAGATCCCCTGAGGGAGCAGATTGGCTGACTGAGAACTAGGGTGGCCAGGGAGCCTCTGCCTTTCATCCTGGCCTCACGGAGGACAGCCTAGTCATTGCTCCGTAGGTCCTGACGTTCCACCCGCCTTTGCGCGTCAGACCTGGCCCGTTCCCCCTCTGCCACTGCAGTCTTTCCCAGCAGCCCTTTCCTTCCCGCTCCCCAGCTGTGCAAGTGAGGTGCGGGTGAGCAGCCTCCCCCTTTTAGCCAACGGCATTGCGTGCCCAGTGCCAGGGTGTCGGGGTTTTCCCGCAGACGGAGACTCCTCTCTGTGCGTTGCTACGTACCTTGACTTCATACCACTGCTCAACCTCTCTGCGGTTCTTCTCGATGATCTGCTCGTATTCGTTTCTCAGGTCGTTCAGTATCTTTGTCAAGTCTTCGCCAGGAGCAGCGTTGACCTCCACGCTCACGTCGCCACCAGTTTGGGACTGCAGCTGTCTCATTTCCTGCAGAGAGTCCCAAGAGAGGAAGAAAGAGCACGGGTCATTTCTAGTGTTGGGGACAGCGGGCAAAGCAGTATCAAGGTACAAAGGGATGGCAGTCACGTGACATAAGGCCGAATTGACTTGATGTGTGACTTTGGGAACCCTGAGGAATCCAAGGACTGTGTCTTGGCCATGCTATTTATCACTGAATCGTACCTCCTCATGGTTTCTCTTGAGAGCGATCAGCTCATCCTTCAGGGACTCTAGCTCAGATTCCAGTGAAGATCTAACCAGAGTCAGGTCATCCAGGATGTTTCTTAACCACTAGATATTCAGTCAAAAGAGACGCTGATGTAGTTCCATGGACAGGAAGCCCCTATTAGCAATAAAATACACAAGGATTTTTTTATTCCCTTGCTCTAGTATGGAATACGTACACAATGTCTTGCTGTCCCTCCTGCAGCAGTGCCCGGTACTGAGCAATCTCCTGTTCCAGGCGGGTCTTGATGCCCAGGAGCATCTTGTACTCCTGGTTCTGGCTCTCCATCTCACAGCGGATGCTGGCCAGCTCCTCCTCTACAGAGTGAATCTGCCCTTGGATTTGTTGCAGCAGGCAGCCGTAGCGAGATTCGGTTTCTGCCAAGGAGTTTTCCAGGGAGTTTTTCTGGAAGTGGAAATGCAGGAGTTTAGGACCAGAGCTCTGCCCCTCCCTGCCCAACGCGGGAGTTTCCCGTTGCGAGGAGGGAAGGGCCCGCGGCGATCCTGCCCCACGTACCGTGCTGAGCTGCGCCTGCAGTTCGATCTCCAGGTTCTGCATTTCGCGTCTCAGTTCCGTGAGCTGGTGGCTGCTCGTCTGGATGTCCTGGCTGCTAGAAGTGACCTGCCGGTTGACTTCTTCAATCTGCGGGAGTCAAACCCCAAAGACACTTTCTGAGTGAGAAGATCCCCTGAGGGAGCAGATTGGCTGACTGAGAACTAGGGTGGCCAGGGAGCCTCTGCCTTTCATCCTGGCCTCACGGAGGACAGCCTAGTCATTGCTCCGTAGGTCCTGACGTTCCACCCGCCTTTGCGCGTCAGACCTGGCCCGTTCCCCCTCTGCCACTGCAGTCTTTCCCAGCAGCCCTTTCCTTCCCGCTCCCCAGCTGTGCAAGTGAGGTGCGGGTGAGCAGCCTCCCCCTTTTAGCCAACGGCATTGCGTGCCCAGTGCCAGGGTGTCGGGGTTTTCCCGCAGACGGAGACTCCTCTCTGTGCGTTGCTACGTACCTTGACTTCATACCACTGCTCAACCTCTCTGCGGTTCTTCTCGATGATCTGCTCGTATTCGTTTCTCAGGTCGTTCAGTATCTTTGTCAAGTCTTCGCCAGGAGCAGCGTTGACCTCCACGCTCACGTCGCCACCAGTTTGGGACTGCAGCTGTCTCATTTCCTGCAGAGAGTCCCAAGAGAGGAAGAAAGAGCACGGGTCATTTCTAGTGTTGGGGACAGCGGGCAAAGCAGTATCAAGGTACAAAGGGATGGCAGTCACGTGACATAAGGCCGAATTGACTTGATGTGTGACTTTGGGAACCCTGAGGAATCCAAGGACTGTGTCTTGGCCATGCTATTTATCACTGAATCGTACCTCCTCATGGTTTCTCTTGAGAGCGATCAGCTCATCCTTCAGGGACTCTAGCTCGGATTCCAGTGAAGACCGAGTGCGAGTGAGATCATCCAGGATGTTTCTCAAGCCGTTAATATCAGCCTCCACAGTCTGACGGATGACCAGCTCATTCTCATACCTGTACCAAAGAGAAGCATTACACATTCATTTCATTACAATGCGTAGGCTTGGTGGTACCGCTTGGGACAGGGTATCGTCACCTGCACTCATGAATCTCGTAAAATTCATGACATGAAAGGTGCAAGGTTCACAGAGGGGCACTCACTTCATTCGGAAGTCATCAGCAGTCATCTTGCTGTTATCGATGTCCAGAATCATTTTGTTATTGTCCACAGTGGCAGAAATGATCTGCAAAAGGGGAAGTTGGAGAGGAGTCTTTCTGTGTTCAAGACACCCAGGACAGGAAGAAAAGAGAACCCAAATCTTTGGTAGCGCTTTGTTGCGGGTCTTTAGGATTTTTTCCAGCAGTAATGCAGGGGCCACAAAAAGTTGTTGAAATGCCATGCCACAAGAACTGGTGCGTGCAAGATTTTGGCTTCCCCAAACATTCTGGTGAAAGAATATTTTGATGGAGGAAAGAATACAAGAACATTTATGCTGGGAGATCACCAATACCTATGGGTTTCTGCACCCTGGATGTATAAGGAAGTGTAGTCTTTGTCCCTGATGCTGCAATTAGTCTTATTAAAAAAGCTGATTGTAAGGGAAGGCCTTGGTCCTTCCATCTGGTACATGTAGGAGTGTGCAGAGACAAAGGGAGTTCAGATCTTGCAGTCCAGGTGCTTTGGCTTTGCGCTCCATCCAGCTGAACTGGGTGGGAGCAGAGGGAAAGACTGGAAACCACACACGCCTGGTCTGGAGCCACCTGTGCAACGTGGGATTTCAGCAGTGACGTGCGCCAGCACGTTTGGGCCTGGTGGAGCCGTCCGCGGTGCCTCGGGCTGCCCCCCCCGAGCACATCCCTGTCGCCTGTGGGGTGGCGGGGGGGTTCGCCTCCACAAGAGACGGGAAGCGCAGCTCAGCAGGTTTCTGCCTGCGGTCCCACCAGCCAGGCCGTCCGGGAGCTCCCTCCCACCCCTTCAGAGCCAGCGCCAGAGGGAAGGAGGAGGTCCCTACCAGTGAGAACAGCGTGCGGGGGATGGCGCCACGTTAGTCGGGGCTATCCTACCTGATTTTGGAGTTGTTCGATGGTCTGGTAGTAGGAGGTGTAGTCCTTTGAAACACTGGGAGCTTGTTTCCTGTACCACTCCCGTATGTGTGTCTCGAGCTGAGCGTTCTCTTCCTCCAGCCGTCGCACTTTGTCCAGGTACGCAGCCAGGCGGTCGTTGAGGTTCTGCATGGTGACCTTCTCATTGCCGCTCAGAAGCATGTCCCCCCCAGCACCAAAGCCTCCTGCAAAGCCACCACCGAAGCCTCCTGTAAAACCACCACCGAAGCCTCCTCCCAGGCCTCCGCCAAAGCCACCCGTAAGGCTGCCAGCGCTCATGCCCCCTCCGTAGCCCATGCTGCACGCTCCCCCCCCACAGGTCCGCCTCCACCTCCGCCGCTCCTGTACGAGGTACTAGATGTTCTCTTGATGGTGCAGCTCATGGTGGAAGTAATCAGGTATTCAGCCCCAAATGCAAAGCCCGCTGCACAGCTCGACCCAGAGAATCAAACTGCAGCCTCCTGTCCTCGCTGATGGCTCTTTATACCTTGCTGGTGGGTGTCACCTGTAGGCAGTCCAGCTTCCCATGGAGTCTGCCAGCCTCAGTGCTCATGCCAAAAGTGATGTGCTAAGGGGAATTTCTTTTGGGGCTTGGGACAACCCTCCCTGTAGGTATTGTGTTTGTATGCTGATTCACACAAAGCATGCGCTATAATTTCGGGTGGGTGGCTGTGTGTTAGATTTTGTTTCAGATAGTATGTTGCTGGCTACTCAGTGAGTGAGAGTCATTTTAATAGTTCCTCTTTGTTCTTTGTAGTCATTTTTTGTCCTGAAAACAGGTGGTGAAAGCACCACCTAGTTACTCTGTTTTAATTTCAGAGTTGGAGAAATATGAACTCAGGCACCCTGTGCATGAGTCTGGTTCCATTTTGCCTGCAGAACTGCCAGTAACTGACACTTTTGGAAACAGAATCTCTAAGAATTTAGGTCCTTCCCTATAAAGAAAGCTCATCGTGGGCACTGGCTTTCAGAATGCTTAGTGGGAAACCTCAATAGAATAACCTTTGAAGAAGCAATGATATTTCTGTTTTCAGCAGACTCTGTTAGTATCACTTCCAGGAAATAATCCTATGTCTTGCACAGAGCGATGGACATGCAATGGTGTAATTTTGAAGTTGTGATTTTTTTAAATTTCTTGCAAATTTCCAGTCACTCAAAGATTATTTCAAACTGAAATAGATGCGTAGAATCTATAGGGCATCACTGACTCTGTCTTGGGAGAGGAGAGCAAAAGGATTCAGCTTTCAACTTAGCAAACTGGAGGCTAAGGTGATTATCAGCTCGCTCTTGAGGAAGGAGATACCAGGGCTGTTTAAAATGAAGGACAATCCTGTTGTCCACATAGGAAGGGGCATAATCTGGTTTTGAGTGTATTTGGGCTGAAAACTAAGGGGAGCTTTTTATCTATGGGAGGCATAAGGGTCTGGAAGGTGCTTCCATTGCAGGAGTGTTGGATGGAAAAGAAAGAGTTTTGAGATCGACCTTGATCAATTGATGGTCGGGATTTTATCCTCATATAGTAGAGACTCAGCTGTGATGACCCTTTAGATCCCCTTTGCCTTCTCTCTTTTGTCTCTAACACTGCTGCACAATCGCAGCATGTCTGTAAGAGAACAGGATGTGATGACCCCTTCTTCAGAAATGAAATTTTGCCTTTAAATAACTTTTGGGAAACATAAATTTTAAGCCTGAACGACAAGGGGCCTCTTTATGCGAGAGTTAAACTTCATCTCTACTTGGAAGTTAAAACTTACTAGTTCATTTTGTCGGTGGTTTCTTCATTTATGATCTTACTTATGAACAGCTTGCAGTTGTGGCTGGAGCAACATTTTCTCTCTTAGCCACGACAATTATGAGACCCATAAAAGTTACTAATGCGTGTTATGGCTGACTGAAGAGTCATGGAAAGCCATTTACCCTATTTCTTGATGCCCCTACAGACATTTTCATAGATATACTGGAGATAATGTAATACTTTGATCTTCATAATTATGATTGTTCTTTTATTGGTAGCTCTCTAATTATCTGCACGTCAGAACCAGTTGCTTTGCATATGTTACTGAAACTGAGTCATCATTATTAAAAAATAAAAATTATTTTCTCACAGGGTGTGATTCCTTAGTCATATTTTCCTCATTAGATTGTTGAAATGCACCTTTATTCTTCCCTATGAGGTGTTTATTGCTGATTGTCATTAATGCCAGAGGTGTTGATTTTATATCTCCTTCTCAGCCTTGTTGCATCATAACATCTGACCCAACAATTCCAAACATTTCCCAATGCTGTAACTTCATACCATCAACAGGTGCCTTTTCCCTGTCTCTCGGTCCCTCTCTTCTTTTTTTTGAATAGCTGATCTAACTATGCTTACTGCTGTAACCGTATCACAACGACTTAAACTTTAGTCTTTCTATTCTGTAACTCATGGGTATTTCCATGTCTTCTATGCATTTTTGGTCCACCATCCTGTGGACACAGCTCTTTGGCCCGAGATGGCTGTTGTGACTCAGTTTGGACATACCGATGTACTTCACAAGCCAAAAGAGCCAGGTCTCTCAAGGTGCCATTAACATTCATAACCCGTGCGATGACAGAAAGGGGTCAGACATTTTCTGTTGTAGAGGGCAGAGAGGCTCCTCAGCCATCATCTGAAGAGACCGTTCGAGCTTTGAAATCATATCTTCCCCTGGAAGACTTTTTGCTCATAATGCACCCCATGAACCTCTATAAATCAGAAAAGTTGGTTTGAAGTAGCGATGTTATGAAGCCTTTCCAGGTGCTGTTTACTCGCTGGTGAAATTGGATGCAGAGCCACAAACAGATACTCCCAACTGGCAAAAGGACCAAAAGTAGTCAGTGGTTTTCACAGAGATCCATTACTGGATATATGTCTGTAGTCACACAAGAGGGAGAGGACAACCTCAGAAACAACTACCCGTAATTAATGATGAGTCAACTGTGGTCTTGGTAAGAAGAGTGCTGCTCCCAGGAGTTTCATCAGGAGCTGCATCTGGGCATTCCTCATCCGTCGCCCATCAGCCTCCAGCACCACTCACCCGTGCATTTCTTCACTTTGTTCAGAGAGGAACTATTTCCATAGCCCCAGATTCTATTCTTACTTTTCTCTTATGTGACTCCCTGGGATGGACCTTTATACCTTGCACATGTGTAGACCTACAGAAAATCCTATTAAATATGAGCTATTTTAATTCTACAGTCTATCTAAATTGTTAGTTCGGTAGCCCTTCCTACCACTGAAAAAGGAAAAGTTTAAATGTAATTCCCAAGAGAAATTAAGCTCTTCCAGTACAGCAATCCTTTCCTGTTCTCTTTCTCTCTACCTGCTAGAATATGCTGTTATTATCAATGACGTTAGCTAATCAAATTCTAAATTCCTCCCTGCCAAAGCCCTTTTTTTTTCTTTCCTGTAGATCTTTTCAGAACAACAAGCAACTATCGCTTTTTCTCAGAACCATGGATGAAGTGAAGCGAGTGCCAGGAGCAGACAGTGAGACCAAGATACCCGATCGAACATATTACAATGTTTCTGGAGCATCTGCCAGCCTTAGACGGAGGCAGTGAGGCATGCTGTGCGTTCGGCACGCCTACGGCATGTTCCAGGCATTTTCCCCAGGACAGCTCTTGCCCCATAGGTAGAGGGAGGTTAGCGCCCCGTGAATCAGCGGTGATACGCAAAAGGCGTTGTGCTGTCGGCAGCAGGACTCTGCCGGTGATCGAACCCTGCTGCAGTGACTGGCAGTTTTGCAGTGCGTCCGCTCCTTTCGGTCTGAAGATTTTGCATAGCTTTGGTTTGGCAGATTTAACTTAAGACTTTTCATAGTGCTGCCTATTTCACAAAGACCTTACACTCTTAGGAATTAGTTCAGAAATGGGGAAAGACATACTGCAGCTCTGGTGTTCCCTTGACTTCTCTGGATGTGGAAGACTGTATTTTTGATCATTCTGATACTTCTCTGTGCTTCTGGAAGATTAGAAGGAAGCAAAATAACCTTTCAGCGCTTATTTATATACGCTAACTGTAGTTCAAGTTTCCATAATCCTGCCTCAAAAAAGATGTAGTCTTAAGCTGTTTTGCTTAAGTACAGCTGAGATGTGAATGAATTCTGGCAGCCTTTGGAGATGGAAGTCATGTTTGCATTTGCTTTACATCACTTTCTATACTGTTAAAACCTGAAATGAGCTTTTTTTCCTTTGGAGAAGGGCTTTTGTTCATACGAATTCCTGATGCTGGACTGAAAAAAGTCGGTTTGGAAACCCAGTTTTTCAACATGAATAGAAAGTATCTCTTGTTTGTGGATACTTACTGCAGACTGCAGTTACGATACCGTGATGGCAGGGCCAAGCCACATGATTACTTAAAGAAGACCTAACCTAAATAATAGTCTTGTAAGTTGTTTATGATGAGAAAACCTTTCATTCCATTACCCTAACAGAACAACACCCTCAGCCTTAGATAAAATGGCAAATGCCAGAGACCAGATTCAGTGGGTGGAGATGGGAACAAGAGGCACTTGTGACTGGATGAGACCCGGCTGATTTTGTGCGTCTGATGCACACAGTTATAGATTGAAAAGGGCTTCACTGTCGTCTTCAGAAAGCAAAATATGTATAAAATAGCTGTTCTAATTTAGTATTGCCCTCTCACCTCCAATTTTATTGTATATTTTATCTTCTTATGCAGAAAAATAAAGTATAGAAAATACTTTCAGTGGATGAAATGTGTCTCTCATTCCTGTTGAGGCATAGTATCAGCCAGTTGAGTGTACTGACAAAAATTGGGTTCTTGGTATTATATTGGTATTTAAATTGAAATTTCTATCATAAAATATAGGAATGTTTTTGGTGCATGACACTGAAGGAAACGGGCACATTGCCTTGTTGGCTATATTTCTTAACAGAAGTTAGCAATACGTAATTCTCTGCGTAGTCAAAGGTGTAGAAATGCTTGCTGTCAGGAAACCCATAGGTACTGGAACAGCCTATACTGAGTCACACCTTCCCGCAGGAACTCTAGCTATGATGAGCTGAGTAAAGCCAAAGATTAATGGACTCAGATGAGTCATTGTAGTGGCATTGAGCACAGTTTAGTACATTAACAGTTAATTAAATAATCTTCAGAGAGTTATCCATCATTGGTATTTTCTTTTGCCTTTCGCTCACATCATTCAGAGTGTCTTTAGTAAAAAGCAGCAAGGCAAGGGGCCAGAAAGCAATCTGTTAGTGCCCATCAGAAAACAAAATGGTAGATGGTTTGTCATTTCACAGGAAGGAGAAGAATTGTGTCAAGAATTGATTTCTGTTTTCAGCCTTAACACCTCGTGCTTTCGAGCAGAGTTCTGACAGTCTCACCTGACTGGCAGTTCCCATAGGCAGAGCTTGGAAGATGTCACACTTCATACAGCCTTCATACAGCCATGCTCAGCATTTGTGACATTTCCTGTAACTCAGTGATGTTATCTTGGCGTGGTGTCCGTTTTCTTAGTGCAAAATAGATTGTTCTGAGACTATGTTATGAAGTATGATAGGACAGCCTGTATTTGATTGGTTAGCTTGATAAATACCTGTTCAAAGTTTGTTAAATTAAATTTCTCAGACACTTTGGTTTTATTTGCGTTGCAGAAGTCAAGTTTTATTAGAGGCAGTGTTATCAGCAGAATTTAAGCCTTTAAACAAAGAACCAGTTGACAAAGGCAAGTTGAGTAAGAAAGAGAAGCATTGCAGAGTGGAAGAAGGGGCGATGAGGCAGGTGAGCAGGCGCTCCTTCCTCATTGTTCCAGCTGCATCAGCTGTGCTGCAGAAGTGCTCGGTTCAGTCTCTAGTTGTCCACGTTCAATGCGTCTTGGCTGGGAGGATGCCAGTATCGCTGCCGTTGCCTAGCACACTCTTGACTGTCCTGTGTAACGACAGAGCAAATGATTGCGTTAAGGAACTTTCACTTGACATGCTGTGTTGTCAAGAGAGCAGTGGGAGAAGCTCAGAGGCTCCAAGCCCAGCAATACCCTGGGCACTTTCTCAGAGCTGTATTTTTTTTTATTCCAATGAGCAAAAAAGCATGCCCCATCCTGTAAAGTTTATAATCTGTATTTTGTATTTAGGTAGAGTGAGGGGCAGGAAAGACTTTCTGTATTTTAACCCCTGATTCCTCTGTGACAGAGTCAATGAGGTTCTCTCACTCCTGGGCTACTGGATCTGGAAATCTTGCCCAGCCCAAAATACAAAACTTTTTTCTGACAGTATATATTGTATTCATTGGGGTAGATGTAACCCACTAATAGACATCCTTACAAAGTGTTGTCTTACCTGTCATGTCACCACACTGGGAATGAGAGTAGGAAGTAGAAGAATATGAATGGGATGATTTTCCACCTCCTTGATAAGCTCCTTGGGACGTACTGTAAAAGGAGAATAATTAATTCACAAAAAAGTCTCTAACCACTAGATATTCAGTCAAAAAAGACGCTGATGTAGTTCCATGGACAGGAAGCCCCTATTAGCGTAAAAATACACAAGGATTTTTTTATTCCCTTGCTCTAGTATGGAATACGTACACAATGTCTTGCTGTCCCTCCTGCAGCCCGGTACTGAGCAATCTCCTGTTCCAGGCGGGTCGGGTCTTGATGCCCAGGCTTGTACTCCTGGTTCTGGCTCTCCATCTCACAGCGGATGCTGGCCAGCTCCTCCTCTACAGAGTGAATCTGCCCTTGGATTTGTTGCAGCAGGCAGCCGTAGCGAGATTCGGTTTCTGCCAAGGAGTTTTCCAGGGAGTTTTTCTGGAAGTGGAAATGCAGGAGTTTAGGACCAGAGCTCTGCCCCTCCCTGCCCAACGCGGGAGTTTCCCGTTGCGAGGAGGGAAGGGCCCGCGGCGATCCTGCCCCACGTACCGTGCTGAGCTGCGCCTGCAGTTCGATCTCCAGGTTCTGCATTTCGCGTCTCAGTTCCGTGAGCTGGTGGCTGCTCGTCTGGATGTCCTGGCTGCTAGAAGTGACCTGCCGGTTGACTTCTTCAATCTGCGGGAGTCAAACCCCAAAGACACTTTCTGAGTGAGAAGATCCCCTGAGGGAGCAGATTGGCTGACTGAGAACTAGGGTGGCCAGGGAGCCTCTGCCTTTCATCCTGGCCTCACGGAGGACAGCCTAGTCATTGCTCCGTAGGTCCTGACGTTCCACCCGCCTTTGCGCGTCAGACCTGGCCCGTTCCCCCTCTGCCACTGCAGTCTTTCCCAGCAGCCCTTTCCTTCCCGCTCCCCAGCTGTGCAAGTGAGGTGCGGGTGAGCAGCCTCCCCCTTTTAGCCAACGGCATTGCGTGCCCAGTGCCAGGGTGTCGGGGTTTTCCCGCAGACGGAGACTCCTCTCTGTGCGTTGCTACGTACCTTGACTTCATACCACTGCTCAACCTCTCTGCGGTTCTTCTCGATGATCTGCTCGTATTCGTTTCTCAGGTCGTTCAGTATCTTTGTCAAGTCTTCGCCAGGAGCAGCGTTGACCTCCACGCTCACGTCGCCACCAGTTTGGGACTGCAGCTGTCTCATTTCCTGCAGAGAGTCCCAAGAGAGGAAGAAAGAGCACGGGTCATTTCTAGTGTTGGGGACAGCGGGCAAAGCAGTATCAAGGTACAAAGGGATGGCAGTCACGTGACATAAGGCCGAATTGACTTGATGTGTGACTTTGGGAACCCTGAGGAATCCAAGGACTGTGTCTTGGCCATGCTATTTATCACTGAATCGTACCTCCTCATGGTTTCTCTTGAGAGCGATCAGCTCATCCTTCAGGGACTCTAGCTCAGATTCCAGTGAAGATCTAACCAGAGTCAGGTCATCCAGGATGTTTCTCAAGCCATTAATATCAGCCTCCACAGTCTGACGGATGACCAGCTCATTCTCATACCTGTACCACAGACAAGAGAGACAGAGAAATGGGGAAATGAGATGATGACAGTCAATAGCACACATCTTACCAAGGTCAGTATGCCAGTAAAACATGAAGACTCAGTAACGGCACTGGGGGCAATGCTCCCTTGTCTCCTGAGATTATGAGCGAGATGTGAAATGCATGTAAGGTTCACAGAGGGGCACTCACTTCATTCGGAAGTCATCAGCAGTCATCTTGCTGTTATCGATGTCCAGAATCATTTTGTTATTGTCCACAGTGGCAGAAATGATCTGCAAAAGGGGAAGTTGGAGAGGAGTCTTTCTGTGTTCAAGACACCCAGGACAGGAAGAAAAGAGAACCCAAATCTTTGGTAGCGCTTTGTTGCGGGTCTTTAGGATTTTTTCCAGCAGTAATGCAGGGGCCACAAAAAGTTGTTGAAATGCCATGCCACAAGAACTGGTGTGTGCAAGATTTTGGCTTCCCCAAACATTCTGGTGAAAGAATATTTTGATGGAGGAAAGAATACAAGAACATTTATGCTGGGAGATCACCAATACCTATGGGTTTCTGCACCCTGGATGTATAAGGAAGTGTAGTCTTTGTCCCTGATGCTGCAATTAGTCTTATTAAAAAAGCTGATTGTAAGGGAAGGCCTTGGTCCTTCCATCTGGTACATGTAGGAGTGTGCAGAGACAAAGGGAGTTCAGATCTTGCAGTCCAGGTGCTTTGGCTTTGCGCTCCATCCAGCTGAACTGGGTGGGAGCAGAGGGAAAGACTGGAAACCACACACGCCTGGTCTGGAGCCACCTGTGCAACGTGGGATTTCAGCAGTGACGTGCGCCAGCACGTTTGGGCCTGGTGGAGCCGTCCGCGGTGCCTCGGGCTGTGCCCCCCGAGCACATCCCTGTCGCCTGTGGGGTGGCGTGGGGGTTTGCTTCCCCAAGAGACGGGAAGCGCAGCTCAGCAGGTTTCTGCCTGCGGTACCACCAGCCAGGCCGTCCGGGAGCTCCCTCCCACCCCTTCAGAGCCAGCGCCAGAGGGAAGGAGGAGGTCCCTACCAGTGAGAACAGCGTGCGGGGGATGGCGCCACGTTAGTCGGGGCTATCCTACCTGATTTTGGAGTTGTTCGATGGTCTGGTAGTAGGAGGTGTAGTCCTTTGAAACACTGGGAGCTTGTTTCCTGTACCACTCCCGGATGTGGTGCTCGAGCTGAGCGTTCTCTTCCTCCAGCCGTCGCACTTTGTCCAGGTACGCAGCCAGGCGGTCGTTGAGGTTCTGCATGGTGACCTTCTCATTGCCGCTCAGAAGCATGTCCCCCCCAGCACCAAAGCCTCCTGCAAAGCCACCACCGAAGCCTCCTGTAAAACCACCACCGAAGCCTCCTCCCAGGCCTCCGCCAAAGCCACCCGTAAGGCTGCCAGCGCTCATGCCCCCTCCGTAGCCCATGCTGCACGCTCCCCCCCCACAGGTGAAGCCTCCTCCCAGGCCTCCGCCAAAGCCACCCGTAAGGCTGCCAGCGCTCATGCCCCCTCCGTAGCCCGTGCTGCACGCTCCCCCACCATAGCTTCCACCGCCTATGACAGAGGAGGCATATCGCCTGCAGGAGACGGAGGAGCTCCTGCCACTGCCGCCACCGCAGCCGCCTCCACCTCCGCCGCTCCTGTACGAGGTACTAGATGTTCTTTTGATGGTGCAGCTCATGGTGGAAGTAATCAGGTATTCAGCCCCAAATGCAAAGCCCACTGCACAGCTCGACCCAGAGAATCAAACTGCAGCCTCCTGTCCTCGCTGATGGCTCTTTATACCTTGCTGGTGGGTGTCACCTGTAGGCAGTCCGGCTTCCCATGGAGTCTGCCAGCCTCAGTGCTCATGCCAAAAGTGATGCGCTAAGGAAATTTTGTCTGAGGTAAGTAAAATGCATTACCATTGTGTTCAAGTATGTGTCTGTTGATTCACACAAAGCATGCACTATAATTTTATGTGGGTGGCTCTTTGTTGGATATTTTGTTGGATAATATAATATCTCATAGCTTCTATTAATCTGGCAATATATCGCTAGTAATAGGAGTTAATGAAGGCTCCGCCTTGGTTGTCTGCCTCCCTCAGTCTTCTGTGTGGCGAAATTCAGTATTTCAGCCTTTGTCTTCCTCCTGTGATCACAGACAATGATTCGTAAGCTTAGCAGCCTCCAAGGGACTCTCATTCATTAATTTATTCAAAAGTTACATTTGCTCTTTAGAAATCTACTTTCATTTACTGAAATAAATTATTAATTTTTAAAACTGCATTCCCACGTCTGTTAGAGAAGAGAACTTTACACTGAATTTTTTACTCTGTTGTCACTCCTAATATTGTGGAAGGTTCTGCTGGTATTTAACTTCTTCTGAAAGTGCAGGATGGTGATTTCAGTCATTTTTCTTGTTGAAGAAATTGGGGTGACAGCCACAAAAGTAGTATTTTGCAAGGGATAAGATATAAAATCTTTTCCTATAAAACAGCCATTAATTTTATTGTAGCTATTTTAAATGGACTCAGAGGAAATTGAGAGGAGAAATTTCTGATATTTCATATTTTCATAATCATATTAAAAATAGCCATTTCTCAGAATTCTATAATGCAGTAAAAAAGTCTGATGAAAAGATATAGTGCCAAAGATTAGATCTGAAAAAATATAATAATTATCTGAACTTGTTACAGTGAATTGTGTTTGCCAATGGTGAGAGAATATCTTGCAACACAAAATGCAGAGCAAGATACAGTTGGGTATTTTTTTCCACCGCCTATGCAATATGGGATGTTCAGTGAGTTGCTTTTTCCGTCTTTACTAATCAAGCTTCTATGGAACTGAGAAAAGCCTCGAACAGAAACAAATTCTCGGGTTTCCAGCTGTGCATTAAATATAACTCCTCCAGAAGAGTCATTTGGCTGGTACAAAGGAAGCACAAGGAGCTGGTGGAACCTCCTGTGAATTACCGCCTCAAAATCAGCTTATCCACAGTGAGGGAGGATGAATTCAACCTGGAAGTATTTTAAGACAAGATTCCATGGTACAGAAGAAGAAATAAACTCATTGAAATTAGCACAATAAGAGTGAGAAGGGATTGAGTCACCTCACGGATGAAGGTACGCATCAGAGGAGGGAGTGGGATTGTTTGAGTTTGAAGACCGTGTGCCTGGATGTGCCCCGTGGGTGTACAAAGAGCTGGGGCTGGAGTCCTGAGCAGGAGCACCTTTCGATTGTGCTTTGCTCTGCGCACATAGGTGCTGCCGTTCAGCTTCCCAAACACCCGGTGAAACGGCGCTCCTACCTGCCTGCCTCCGGAGCCGCGTGGGGGCCAAGGAGACTGCGTACGGCCAAAATTCCCGCTCCCACCGTGCTTCTGAGAACCGACAGACAACTACTCGAAAATAATACAGCTTCGCCCTGGGTGAAGCCATATTCTGCAGAGTCTTCTGTTTGGGGGGGGGGGTTAATAGGTTTATGATTTTACAATAGGCTTTCATATATCCATATATCTAATTTTCTTCTTTTATTATAAGAATTATATAGAAAGGCTTGTCAACAAAATATTGTTGAATTGCAAGGGGAGGGGTGTGAACTGTTACCACGAGAATGTTATCTGCTATCTGTAGAAGTGCTTAGTCTTTAGAGACTTAGTATGTGATGAGACATAAACTTGGGGTGCTGAATCCCAGAGCTTGAATTCTGCTGCCTAAAGGCACGTCCTTGTAGGTACTGCTGGTGACTTCCACAGACCCTGGAGATGTTTGCTCCGACTCCAGAGGGAAAGGGACTTCAATGTGTGGGAAATGCTCCTTAAGAGAGAAACAAGATTTTGAACTTGTGAAAGTGAAACCGAATCATTAAAAAATCCACAAAATTATGACTTATCAACTTTTTGTCAACTAACTTTAATTAGAAACACCTTCATGTCAGTCGTGATTTTGCATACTGCTGTGTTTAGAGAGAATGCTGTCATATCCTTGGTCACGATGTGCCTCCTTCTGAGGGTGAAACACTCTCAGGTACTACCTAGTGCACATGCAGAAGTTTTTCTATACCTTTTCCACCATTCCCTGAATCTTTTCCAGCTCTATCGTGTTATTTTTGAGACAGGGTCACCAAAGTCACAGCGCTCAAAATACAGCCCAGGGTATCCATGTGCCTCAGACTGATACAGTGGAATTAATGATGTTCTTCATTTTGATCTTCTGTATATTGAATGGAGAATCATCTCTGCGGCCACAGCCTTCAGGGGGACATAACCCCAAATTTCATAGTTCTCCATGGAAGACCCCAGCCAGATTCCATTCAACCAAACATTCTCACTGTCTAGATCCACAGGGTTTTCCTCAGTCTTTGGTCTTCAAGATACAGTGAGATTCCTTATTCCTCTCTCATACTCTCTTCTAATTTCCTCAGCCACACCAGTGACTTTCTGCTGAAACTCCTTCGTTCCCTCAAGCTGGGTCTCCTACTAGATGCTGTCTCCATTCTGCCTATTTTAACCCCTTCTGAACTTCATCGTATGATGTGTAGCACTTGGTGCCTGTTGGGCAGCAAGGTAATTACCAGACAGGAAAATAAATACTCTTTAAAGTTTAATTTAAAGTGTAGATTGACAGCTGTGGAGGTAGTTGTAACATAGAAGGTGCAAGAGGTACCCTCTAGAGGGCTCTGGCATAAGCGCAGTTGATTACTTTGAAATAATCCACATACCGTTTGCTATGAACATCACGTCTCTTTCCAGATGATGTGTGTAGTCCAAGTATCTAAAACAAAGAAATAGAAATCAGCGCTACTAGAATCTAATTCCTGTTGTGTGTCACTGGAAGTATTTGTGTAGCACAAACAAGTCTGCAAAACCTGGTTCATGCAAGCCCAACACAAACAAATACAGACTTTGGTTTGGTGTAGGTCAAGTATTTCTGTTTCCCTGAATGGTTTCCAAGTGTTGAGAAAGTTCACATGGCAATGTGACCTGTATTTCTGGAAATTAATTTTGCGTCTGTTCTCTTGATCCACACCCTTGTGCGTCAACCTGTTTCACCTCTCGTCAATGGTGCCAGCTCCTGTTCCACACAAACCGCGTTTTCTTTGACTCTTTACTCACCGCTACAGGCCACTGCCTGAGCACGCAGCCCTGCACCCGCAGTTCAGCCTGCAAGGTCACGTGCGAGTGAAACACACCCCTCACTTGTGCAGCCCAGGGTAATTGTGGCCCCTCGTTTGCCCGGGATACTCTGCTAGCCTTCGGAGCTCGGGCCGCTGTGTGCCTTTTTTTAAAACTTGGCTTCACCATAGACATACTCTCCAGGCTGGGGCTAGGGCAGAGCCTTCTGCAAACAGCTGCGTGAGCGGAGCCTGCCTCGGGGCGACTACGGGGAGACTGGCGTGCCGGGCAGGCGTTAGGATTTTGTGTTAGGATTTTATGTTCCTTTCCAGGTTTTCCACTGCTGGGTTTACTTGCGAGCTGCACAGCCTATAGTTGACGTCCGTTCCGTGTTGTCCAGGTGGTAGCTGTACAATGCACTAAGAATTTCAAGTGAGTCTGAGGAATTCAGATGCCAACTTCTCATTAAAATTAATAAAGCTGTGGTTTACGATCTGCCTACTTAGGCAGCCCTCTCTCCTCCAAAATATCATGCAGAAATTCCTGAGATTCCTCAAACGCACCAGAGACTGCTTTGAAAGGCCTGGGACAATACATGGTGTTTCCTTTGATCTCTGAATTTGTTAGTCCTCAGAAGGCAAAGTTATTTTTTTTAGCTATGTCTCTGGAAATGGGTTTTATCCATGGGGGTGGGCTGCAATGAAACAAGCTGCTGTTTGTTTTTGTGAACAAAGTTGTCCTAGTTGCTGGAGAAAGCTATACTAGAATTTCTTTGAAATAATGACTGTAAAAAAGCATATCAAAAAGCTGGACAGAAGCAAAGGCAACTCCCAAAAGATAGCTAATAACAGGAGAGTGCTTGCTGATTATTTGTTTGGTGAGTTGCTCCGAGCCGTTGGAGCAGCCAAGCAGTCAGATTTTTTGCAAACTGGTCCGGAATGTTTTTAAGTAACAGCTGGATGTGGCTGAAAGAGTTTGTGTTCATTTTCTTCACAGTACAGATCTTCCTATACCCAAAAGTAAACATTCCCGGTACTTTCACATGTACTTCGTTCGTTTGTCACAGGTAGAAGGCAAATATTGCTGCTAGTATTAACATTTTATGGAGGAGAACTTTGTAAAGATCCTGTAAATTATATTTCCTTTTAACTCCTTTTTCTTGTCTGTTCAAAAACAGATCGCTAGTTTGTGCATTTCCAGTTTAAACCAATGAGTGTCAGAGAAGTTTTTGTGAATCACAAATTGAAACATTCAGTTTACAATCATGGTTCTGTAATCATTCATGTTTCTTTGTGTCAGGCCTGGGTGCACACTCATCTGATGCCAGCTTTATTAGCGTTCATATAGTACTGAGCTTCTGCAGTCTGTTCTGGCCGATATTCGACTGCTATCGGGTCTTAGAGCTCAGCGCCGCAAGAGTATCTGGCATGTCATTAAAAACCAAAGGCACAGCACAGGATGCCCGAGGCAGATTATGATCTGCCCTGAATGCCCCGAAATGGTGCTTTAACTCTACATTTCATTATCAACTATTGTAATGTATCATCAACTTTTCTGCCTGGAGGCATGTGTTGGCATGGCTTTGTATTTTCTTTTCAAGTGTTTACACTTACAGAATGGAAGAAAACCTACACACAGGATTCTGGTTGCATCAGACAGAAAGGAAGTTTTATTAGCGACATTTTCCTGATACAGAACAACCCAAGTGACAGATTGAATCTGCAAAGCAAGTAGCTCAAGTGCCAGTGATTGAAGCCACAAGGCATTCCGGGCAGAGGGAGCGCAGAGCGTGCGTGGCAGGCGGGCGGGTGGCCCAGCTGAGTAGCTGTGATGGGCCCTTCTGGATAGGTGGCATCAGCAACGTCGAGGAACTGTTAGGAGCATTTGTCTTTCCTCAGGAGCATGGGGAATGCAGGGGATTCGGGCCAATTTCTGTTTGAAAGGTCTTGCACTGTAGTTTCCTCAATGTATATTCTCAGTCAAAAGATTTTCTTCCATACCCTGTTTAGAAATAAAGCAAGCATTACTTTCTTCAGTACTGGCACTGAATCTCTGAGGCACCAGTATTTACCAGGCAGAAAAGAAGCTTGATTAGGTGATAGGTGACCGTAAGCATTCCAAAAGCATAAAGGAAAACTTCAGCATGGTGCAAAAGCAGCGGTATTTATGAGGTTCTGCAAAGAATGAGAGCTCATGTCACCCACAAAATTGAATAGAAATTGAATGTGTTTCTTAAGCAGAGTTGATCCTTTGCACACAAATAGGAAAGAATTTTTAATAAAAGTAAATTAACACTTCCCAGAAATTTTAGTTTATCCTTGGTACTGTTAACGTCCAGGAGAGGATGTTGATAGGGTGTATAAATTAGTAAGGATGGGACTGAGAGAACAGTGTGACCATACAGCAGTTCTCACCTTGGCTTTCACCACCAGTCCTGCAGGACTGAGACTGGGAAGATGAAGAGTAGGAGTGGGAACCACTGATGCCTCCTGAGATCCTTCCTCCTCCTCCTCCTCCTCCTCCAACAACACTACTGCATCCACCACTGCCTCCCCCTCCTATTCCTCCACTTCCTCCTCCCATTCCTCCTCCTCCCATTCCTCCTCCCATTCCTCCTCCCATTCCTCCTCCTCCCATTCCGCTGCTGGAGGAAATGCTACCACCTCCATATCCACCACTCATGCTACCACCTCCTCCTCTTCCTCCTCCAGAAGAATAGCCACCACCTCCTGTTCTACCACCTCCCATGCCTCCTCCCATGCCTCCTCCCATGCCTCCTCCCATGCCTCCTCCCATGCCTCCTGCTGGGATTCTGCAAAGAGAGAGAAAGAAGGAGAAAAAACGTTAATCAAATGCATTTTTGATCTCAGAATGACAGATACTGCACAGAAGCCTGCACTTCTCTTGTCTGTACTTCTCCTTTTTAGAACCTAGCACAGATCAGCAATACAACTGATGCCATGCCAAAAATCAGCCTCCCTTTCAATTTCAGCCTGAATGCAAGAGTTTTTGCTTTTCGCACATTCTGCTCAGATATTTCTTGCAAGATTTAGCATTGCTGCTTTATCAGCGTATGATGTCACTGCGCTCCAAATTGGAAAGGCAGAAAATGAAGCTTTAGATGTTCTTTCAGACGCCACTTATAAGCAGAAGCAGGCTCACTGCATAAGGGAAACTGAAGGAGCTTGAACCTTCAGAGAATTGCACACTGAGACTTTTATGAAGGTTTGGAAAACTATGGTCGTTTTTCTGGCTTACAGTCTTTTCCAAGGTGACTTCTGTCTGTTCAGTTCCTGGCCTTTTCTGGAACCTTCTGGTGAAGGTAAGGCTCTGTACGTGGGCTTCCCTGTCCAGCCCCAAATCGGTAGTTCAGAATTTCTGCGTTAATTTTCCCTCACATGATTTATATTCTGAACAGGTTTGCCCAGAAGGGTATAGTACCTCAAACCTGGGAGGCGATTGGTCAGGATAGCTGAATTAGCCTCATTCCGGTACAGAATCTGCTTTGCAAATCTAGACCGTTAATTTCCTGTCTTTGTGACTAATCTAGCAACCCTGGCTTCCACATAATGCTGTGTTCTTTTGTCAGTTTACATACACGAGGTCTTGCTGTCCTTCCTCGAGCAGTGCCCGGTACTGAGCAATCTCCTGTTCCAGGCGGGTCTTGATGCCCAGGAGCATCTTGTACTCTTCATTCTGGCTCTCCATCTCACAGCGGATGCTGGCCAGCTCCTCCTCCAAGGGGCCGATCATAGCCTGGATCTGCTGCAGTTGCATGTTATAGCGACGTTCTGTGTCTTCCAAGTTGGATTGCAAAGAGTCGATCTGCAAATGGAAAACAAAATACAGTGTTTATGGGAACGTGGCAAGTTTAACTCATTTTTGTGGAAAAATCGGAGATCTTCACAAACCAGAAAAAAAGCATATCTTTGAAGAAAAGTAATCCGGTATCCCATTCCCCAGAGATGGAGTACTTTCCAGGTGTAACCATTCTTTCATTCTAGTGACACATACAGCCTGTGTCACAGGTGAAGCAGAAGCAATACCTGTACTTACCATGCTGATTTGCGACTGCAGCTCAATTTCCAGGCTTTGATATTCACGTCTCAGCTCAGAGATCTGTTGGTTGCTTGATTGTATCTCCTGGCCACTGGAGTGGACTTGTTGATTAACTTCTTCCATCTGAAAAATTCACATACAAAATTGAGGCATTGTTGATAACAAAAAACATTGTGGGGTTATCATAAAAGCACTGAGAAAGCAATTAATAAGAATGACGAAGGATGTAATGCAGACTGACTGTTTCCCACATGCCCCTCTGCTAACGCACGCTGTAATTCACCTTGCTACCAGAACACAGAGATCCTACATGCTTTACCACATAACCTTAATACTCCAGAACTGACCTGTTGCAGTAAGCTGCTTAAAGTCATTTGAAGTTAATGTCCCTTAAATAATACATGATACATCGCCTTTCCTTTACTGGATGTAAATAGGTCCAGTTCTCTGTGAAAGATTTAGTAACCAAAAAACCCTGGTGCTTTACCTTGGTTTCATACCAGTTTTCCACCTCTTTCCGGTTGTTCTCAATAAGCCGTTCATATTCACAACGCATTTCATTTAATTTTTCCATCAAATTAGTGCCAGGAGTAGCATTGACCTCCACACTGACATCACCACCGGATTGTGTTTGCAGTCCTTTCATTTCCTGGGAAAAAACCACAGAAAACCCCACCAGGTTCTCAGAGGGTGAAGGTAAGGAGAAATGTCGTAGTTTCAAATAAAGGAAAAGAGGGGGAGACAAATCCTCACACGGGCGCATCGCTCCTGCAGAGGGGCCCTCATCTGCCCTTGGCCTGAAAGGGAACAACTCTGCCATTCCTAAGCCAAACCTTACAGTGAACAGCAGCCAGGCACCACATACACAGCGGCCCTGCCGTTTTCTCCTCAGGGTCATAAGGAATTCTATGCAGCGTGCTCTTTGTGAAAATCCTTTTATGTATTTTTCTTCTCATTGCAAATATCATTGCAGATAGTATAAATATTTTGACTCCTCCTGATATTCTATCCAATTTTCCTTCCATGAGTTCAGCAACAAACTTGTACTTTGTACTGAAAGCCATTCATTTCCCCAATCTCATTTTGCCACATGTTGACCTAGGTGCCTTACTACATCAGCTGTGGGCAGCTATGGATGCTACGTACTCCTGAAAATCAAAGCCAGATTGTGTCACGTTGGACAATCAAAGCCAGCGGCCAAAATCTGGTTACTGCTAGTGGAAGAAATCCACAGGAAATTCTCCGAGTGTTGAGTTTTCATTAGTTATTTTTTTAAAGTGTGGAGAAACTTACCTCTTCATGGTTCTTCTTAAGATAGATCAACTCCTCTTTTAGGGATTCAAACTCTGTCTCCAAGTCAGATCTGGCTAGAGTCAGTTGATCCAAAAGTGGACGTAATCCATTAATATCACTTGCCACGCTCTGGTGGAGGGTATATTCAGTTTCATACCTGAAGGCAGACAAGACAGGTAGTAAAAGTGCTGCCAGACCTCTTTGTTTGTTATCGTGATTATGAACAGTTCCCACCAGTACATCTTTGGTCTTTAATCCCATTGCTCAGTTCTTAAAAGAAAGGCCCTAATTCTCCTTCCATCTCCAGTAGGTTTGTTTGATTTCAGTACAATTTCTCTCTGTGAGATTTATATGAGGATTATGCTTATAAAGCTACATGCAAGGATGGAGAAACTGAAAATGTAGTCCTTTAAATGGCACTCTTCAATAACTTGTCTGGACAAAAATAATAACGGAAGACTAACAAAATCATTCTCAGAATGCTTTTCCCAACAATTCTATATTCTGTCAGTGGAGCCAAGAGGCTATAGCGTCTACAAAGACGAACTGGCAGTCTGAACTCGGGGCGGGTAAAGGGAGGCAAGATGGAACGAGAGAGGAAGGGAGAGACTCACTTCAGTCTGAAGTCATCCACAGTCATTCTGGTGTTGTCGATGTCAAGAAGGATCTTGTTAAGGTCCACATTTGCACCAACGATCTGAAAGGGAGAGGGCAGATGTTACTGGGTCAGTTGTCTTTTCAGTCTGACACACAGATAGAGGGAAGAAACACCTGGGCAGAAACACATTTCAGAATATCTTTATGGTAACGTCAAGCCTGACTGGTGCTGCAGGAGCTAGAGAGAGAGAGAGAGAGAGAGAAGAGTTTATTGCTTCCAGTTAGAAGAAAGTGCCTTTGCTGTCAATTTTAGTTTACAAATATCCGTTAAAAATGTAATACCTTGTTGGAAGGAATAACTAAACAAACTCCTCCTATTCCAAAAACAGTGGGACAACATAATTGCCATTGCATTTGGCAACAACCGTATTCATGTAGGAGATACGAGACTATTACATGGCTGAGGGCTGGAATTAGACTAAAAACACAAAAAGATGCAATTAATATAGCCATAAGCAAGCCATGATTATATCTCCTGTTGAAGAGAGTGAGGAACTAAGAAGCAAGAGCCCAGCGTTGAAGGGAGCACTGGACAGGCCCCGTAACGGGTGCAGGAGGAATGGTCTGCCACTGCACCAAACCATGCTACTGCGCCCAATACAAGCGTGCCAGAATACGCATCTCACCCACCCCAGAGAAACCCTGGTAGTCAGGCTTTGTCACCACACCGGTCTGCTTCCGGGCTAAAACAAAGGAGGGAATATATTGCCCCAAATAGGGATGTCGTGCTGCAGGAGGCAAGTGCTGTTCTAAGGAGAATCCGTTCAAAGTTAGTCAAATTACATCATACCTGGTTTTGCAGTTCTTCAATTGTTCTGTAATATTGGCTGTAGTCCCTGGAAAGAGTGGGACCGTGATTTTTATACCACTCCCTGATCATGTGTTCAAGTTGAGTATTTTCATCTTCCAAGTGTCGCACTTTATCCAAGTAAGAAGCCAGGCGATCATTAAGGTTCTGCATGGTCAGCTTTTCATTTGTGGAGAGCAAGCCGGCATCTTCACCAAACCCCACTCCACCAAAACTACCTCCACCATAGCCACCACCACCACCAAAGCCACCACTGCCCCCGAAGCCGCTAAATCCACCTCCACTATATCCACCACCGCCAAAACTACCTCCACCAAGGCCAGCTCCATAACCACATCCCATTCCCCCGAAACCACCCCCACCTGATCCAAATCCTCCTCCCATACTTCCACCGCTCATTCCTCCTCCATAACTACCACCGCTCATTCCTCCTCCATAACTACCACCGCTCATTCCTCCTCCATAACTACCACCGCTCATTCTTCCTCCATAACTACCACCGCTCATTCCTCCTCCATAACTACCACCGCTCATTCCTCCTCCATAACTACCACCGCTCAACTACCTCCACCAAGGCCAGCTCCATAACCACATCCCATTCCCCCAAAACCACAACCACATCCCATCCCCCCGAAACCCCCCCCACCTGATCCAAATCCTCCTCCCATACTTCCACCGCTCATTCCTCCTCCATAACTACCACCGCTCATTCCTCCTCCATAACTACCACCGCTCATTCTCCCACCATAGCTACTGCGGCTAATCCTTCCACAACTGCCACTGCTAAAGCCCCCTCCGTAGTTGCTCCTGGAAACTCCTCCACCAAAGCTTCTCCCAGAAAAGCCTCCGCTTCCTCCAGAAGAGGTGTATTTTCTAGTGGACATTGAGGAGTATCCACCAGACTTGCGTACTCCACAGCTGCTACCCCCTCCACCACCTCCACCACTACATCCTCCACCACCTCCACCACCTCCACTGCTAATTCTAGTGGTACTAGTCGAAGACTTAGTGCCACAGCTCATAGCGACAGCAGGGAAGAGTCTAACCGCAATCCCAAATTTAGGTGCACAGCCCGATAAGATTCAGGACTGCAAATTTCCATCCCCAGCTCTCTGTATTTATACATTTGACAGTGGGTGTCACCATCAGGGTGTTTCCTTCTCCCAGGGCATTTACCAACCTTATTGTTTGTGCCAAGAATAATTTGCTGAACAATATTTTTGTGCTGCTATCGCAGGCAATCGAGCCTATTGCTGGGTTTATGGTGTTTGTTTAAGACCAAGCATTTCATTTCTTTTTGGGTGGCATTCTTTTCATTTAGCTTTTTCTGGAATAGGTGGTCTTTTGCCTCGTGCAGCCTGGATCTGCTTTACACCGGAAAAGCCACTTTATCCAGGTTTGGGGTGAAGCTAGTGTTGAGATAATGTGCACCTGATGGAACTACACAGAGAGAATTTTTGTTCTCAGTTCTTCCCTAAAAGAAAGACGAGGCCCAAATCTCTCATGTTAGACTGCGGATTTATTTGTTCAATTATTAATCTACTTTCTTTGCTAAGACTTTTGTCGCTGCTATTGTCAAAGGCTATTGTTCTCTTTTGCTCTTTCATATTTTGTGCATTTAAGATCTTCTACACTGCTTATATTCTTTTCCTCACTATCCATGATAGTGCAAGAGTTTTATTAATAGGACTGTATAACTTGTCTGTTTAGATTGTCCAGCTTGCGTATCCCTGCCATCACTTAGAGAACGTATTTATTTACATGAGAAGTCTATTTCAAGCAATGCACTGGGATTCTTATTTAAACGTCAAAATCCTTCCTTTGTGAAGAAAGCGATAGGACAGCACACTAGATAGCTAAGTCCTAGAAATCAAAGAGGCAAAAAATATTGGATTTTTTTCACCAAAGAGCTGTTGATCTAAAATAGTAGGAAGATTAAGGATACTTTAATTGTATTATAAAGTCAACTGTAGCACAATTAGAAGCTGTATTAATGCAGACAATGACCTATAAACTACTGTGTGGGAAGACCTTTTATGGTTTAATATAAAACTGCTCCTTCTCTCTATTGTTATGGTGTCATATATTACAGGTGATAGAGTAATTATATATACTGCTCTTGATGCAGACATCCTTGGGACTCTAAAATAGTATCCTGAGAGAAAAGTGGAAAGGCTTTTTACACAAATCAGTTGAAATCGGGCTGTTGAGACCACAAAAGAAACTACCCCATGCTTCAGTCCTGCACTGATCCCCAGAAGTTTACCCAGGATGGACTTGTAAATGGTTCTCATTCTCTGTTGTTAGATTTGATGCTAAAGCAGAGGATCTGAAGGCAGCATTGCATGTTTCTGAAAAATCTTTAAGAAGAGTCTGAGTTTGGGCAAACAGTGCCGACTGACTCTTTGATTCCAGATGATTGTCATCTACAAAAATACCCTCCTGGTATAATGCTTCATCTTTGTCCTGGGTGAAAACTAAATATTCTGGTTCAAATGCAGAATCTCATTTCCTCAGCATCCGCTTAGCTCTGTTCTTACACTGCAAGCTTTTATGAGAAATTTATGTCTTATTTTTTAATACAGTAGAGACTTCATTCATGCAAACAGCCCGTCCCTACTGCTTAATTGCAAACAGCAGCAAAACCATCGGCATTTGTGGTCTTACTGAAGATGGACCCCAAACTGTTAGAGTTTGCTTGGAAAAAAGTGTGCATTTTTCCAGTGACAGTTTTATTCTGTGTTACTGAAATGTCTTCATTGCCTTTCTTCCTCTCTGTGTGGTTGCTGATGCTCTAATGACTGTAAAGTATTTATGAAATTTAGCAATCTGCCCCTAAACCACAGGCGCAGGGAACAGAGCAGGGCACATCTGAGGAACTCGCATTGTTGGCTGCTGTCCTTCTCTCAGCATCTTCAAAAAGAGCTCTTGTGGACGGCAGTGCAGCGCAGTCCTGGCTTTCCAGCGGTCACCTCGACTCTGAAGTCGATTGTGTGTTGCTGCTGGTTTCTACACTCTGCTGTCAGTCTCCATGTGCATGATTCTTTTACAAACTGTATTTCTGCCTCTTAACTTCTGGTCTTTCTTATGTTAAATTAAGGATTATTTAGCATTTTCTGACTGAATCCATTGTCCTGTCCTTTGCGCTGTGCCTTTGCCAGCATTGCTTTATTGCTGCTTATGCAATCTCTTTCAAAAGTTCTCTGATTTTATCTTGGTATTTGATATATTCAATGGCTTGAAGATGATGAAAGATTTCAAGTCGCTTGATGATGTGATAATTTCTCCTTGATTCACAGCTGGAGGATGGTAGTGTCACCTCAGCAGCGTAAACACAGTTTCTGGGCTTCTGCACGTTCTGTTATTGGTGCTGAAAGATGTAGTTCACTATATGCAAAACGGTTTTTCTTTTTCGTGTTGGTTTGCCTTTGTGTCTGGGTAATGTCGTTCTGGTCAATGGGGGCCCTTTTTCACAAATTCTACCACGGTAAGTAAAATTGATCATTACATTCAAATTTCCATCAGTGATTCCGGTGATATTCCTTATAGATGCTTTTCGTAGACAAGCTAGAACAGCCTATGGGTTTGTTAGTGACAGTCAGCAAAAAATTCTCTGGAATTATTAAAACAAGCGTAAAAACATTTGCCAAAAGAGTCTCTTAATCTGTTTACGTACTTCCCGAGAACCTGCATCGTTTCCTATTTTGTTTATCAGTTGTCTTTTTCTGTATGTACTTGTTCACAGCAGGGACTTGTCCATACTGGAAGGTTCTTCGGATGAGGGCATATCTTATTGTATGCTGGGAAAATGCTTTAAAAGCAATGAAAGATAAGAGTCAAGCCATTGAGGGTGGAGAACTTTAGATAGCCTCAACATCTCATTTTAGTTCTATATTATCACTGCTACTTATATATAAAGGAGGAACACAAATAAAAGATTTTGCCTTTAGATCTTTGGGAGGTTTTAAGTCATATCCTCATAGGATGTTCCTTTTTTGTCTTTAGTGGTGCTATTATTTCTTTTTTGTTACTAGTTCAATCTTAGTGTTTTTTATAGAAATCCTGCCGGCTATTAGGATATGCTGTATTCTTAATAGCTGAAAATTTTCCCTTGTGATATTTTGTTTCTTTCGCAGTCATTATATTCTCAAAAACGTAGTATGTCTCTTTGGACTATGAACTAATGTACCTGAACAATACCGGTGAACTATGCGTGCTTCATCCTCTTGTAAAGTTGCATACATTGAATTCCCTCCTGGCATATTTTAATTTATTGATTATTAAATATTTAACTGTGCAAATATTTACAAACCAGAGAAGATCCATTCTGTGGACAGGATGAATTTTTCCTTTCTGAGCTCATTTAAAGAGCCTTCAAAAATTTTTGTTCTCTGATGCCTTCCACCAATGTCTTATATGGATGATGTAAAGTTTATAATTTACGGAATTATCTAAAAGGAACTGGCAATTTTAGGACCTTTTCTTATCTCTTTGCCATGTATGATGCACAGTTTCATCATTAATGTTTCTGTGTTGATACAGCATCCAGTATGCTATATAACATCGCTGTTTCCCAGTCAGACCAGAATAAGGACATGGAGAACCACAGCCACCAGCATTGCTCGGCCTGCAGAGTACGTGCGGGTTTTGACGCTGTGTGCTGCTGCTTGTTAAGCCCAGCACATGCCACGGCTCAAGTCCAGCCGACATGCTTTCACTCTCTCTCTGTTATCGTTTTCCTTTTAATCAGGCCTCCGGGATGTATGTCACAGAAGTGACTGCCTAGCGTCAGAATGAAGACAAGCTGTGAGCAGCCCACGCTGCTGTATATTTTGGCAAAACTGGGAGCCTTTTACAACAGACTGGAGCTGCTGCATTCAAAACAGACCTGAAGAAAATGTATTCTCACTTTTGTGTCTGCGCACCGAAAAATTAAAACTGTTCCACTTCATTCATTTTGATTCTGATGCCGTGCCTCAGGCAAGTGCTACAGTTTATTCTCTTGATCTATTTAATAATCTCTTCCCACCACTCTTACCGGAAATTTTTGTAAGAAGAGAGGATCTGTTTTCACCTAGGAGCCTGTGCTCGCTGTTCTGATCCTTCATCATATTATCCTTCATCTGATAATATTCTAGTGAAATCACAATAATTGCCAAAGAAATTTAGATAGGCCCAGCAAAGGAAACAAGGACTACTAAGGCAGCAGTGAGCTTGCCTGCGAAGTTTCAAACCTCTAGCGCTCTCCAGGCGACACTTGTGCAGGATAACTTGGATCTTCCACACAAGTAGGTTGATGGAAGAATGCCTGTCTCTCAGATCCTGAAAACGTACACACCGTTTTTGTCCTTTGGATGTGGCAGCCGTGGGTCAAAGCTTTTGTGCCTCCAGCTGACAGGCAGTTTACAGGCTGCTAATTACTGCTGCTCAGCTGCCACCTACCACCTCTGCCACTTCCTGAGCCAGAACCAGAGTTGTCCCTCTGTGACTGCCCCAGTCTCCTGCAGAGTGAAGCCAATTTGACTGGAATAATTTTTTTTGTTGGTACCAAAATGGAACAGCGGTTTTCATATTGCCTGTAACAGCTGGAGGGCACGATAAGAGCCTCTGCCAACAAGGTCTCCTGCCTCTCTCTAGAGTCTAGGTGCCGCAGTCCATCTGGGATAAGCAGCCTCGGCTCCCCTCCAGGCTGTGGGCATCCAGTGCTGTTCTGTCACCTTAACAACTTTGATTACTGCAGTATCCTGCGAGATGGAACCTACAGATTTGAATCCCAGCCTGCAAAAGCACTAATCCACATATTGTACTTTCTGTTACTGCAACCGATGCGTTCTGTGAAAGAAAGGCATCCACTCTTCTTGCAGTGTTTTACAGGGAGGAAGGTCGTGCTGGCCTGTGGGAGGCATGCTGCTGGGCTGAGCTCTGCCGAGGATTTACACACCTCAGGGGCAACCTGCGTGGTCTGGGAAGGAGCTGGTACTTGCTCCCTTAGCCTCAGCCTGGTCTGAGCAAGTGCAGAAACAGCCTAGAGAACTTGTCACTCAAAAAAACTTAGAAAAAACTTCACAGAAAGGGCTGTCAGGCCCTGGCCCAGGCTGCCCGGGGCAGTGGTTGAGTCTCCATCCCTGGGGGTATTTAAAAGAAGGGCAGACGTGGTGCTCGACAACATGGTTTAGTGGTGGGCTTGGCAGTGATAGGTTAACGGTTGGACTCGGTGATCTTAAGGGTCTTTTCCAACCTTAACGATTCTGTGATTCTATGAAAAAGTAAGATGTAGTGAATGTAACAATTCAGGGTGGTTAAATACCCACTGAGCAAGGATTGGGGAATCAGAGCTTCGGACTTCAGCCAGTCTCGGTGTAGCTAAATCCTGTTTATGCCTACTGCCTTTGGGGACCTGGCCCCTGCTTGATTGGCTATACAGGGAATTATTATCACAAAAAAAACCCACCACTTGAAGCAGATGACCGCCTAAGCAACCTGTGTTACCCCCTCATAAAAGTGAAGAAGAACCCCTAGGACGTTCACGCTGAGATGGATGGGCTCTAGGAAGGTTTGCTCGTTCCTTCCTTCCCCCCCAACAGTGCCGTGAAATGGCACACTTTGCTGTGCTAATTCTGTAGCCCATGAATATAGCCTGTGTAGCATCTGACAATTAATAGGGCTGACAATTAATGCTAAACAAAGGAAACATCAGCAGAATATAGGCATAGGCAATTTTGAAATTACATCTGTGGCTTCACATGGACAAATGAATTGCTCTGGGAGTACTGAAGCCAAACATACAGGAGCGTGTGTGCAGATTTATTTTTGCCTAAGGTTGTTCTGAAGGTCTTGTTCCAACACGTACCATAATTTTCTTCTCAGCGCACTAATAGGAGCACCAGATAAGTATCCGAATTGCAACATTTTGTGCTCATAAAATTAAAGCTTATTATGCTGATTAATGCCTAACAAAATGCATGAAAATAAGAAGTGCAAGGTTCTCCTCATGACTCTTAATATCGCTGGAGTCCCACTTTAAGCATGCTCTAAGCTTTGACACCTGACGCTCCAATATTTGTATTTCTTACTCCTGCTTTGCGATAGTTTTGGTTTTCTAGCTCTGTTCCTCCACATAAGGTTTTTTTGCATCATTGTTATTATTACAAGCCTGTTCTCTCAGTAAGCAAATGCTAGTGATAACCTAGATGCAGATTTTGTATATACAAAATGGAAAAAGGAAAGAATACTTAAACTGGCACTTTCTTCCAAGGTATGGTAAGAAACCATCGAAATTCAGTCGTCTTTTTGTCTGTAATGAGCACTAATGCCATGATCAAGTAGGTATTTTTTTAAGTTTATTGGTGGTTTGTATTTTGTCACATACGGTAATGTGTAGCGAATAAAGTTTATTATGAAGCTTATTTGCATTATCGATGCAGACTCATTACATGCAAGGAACATTATAAGAACACCTTGTTAAGAAAGGTGCAGGTTTTAGGTAAGGAAGAAGACAATACGATCAATGCTGCGTAGTAAAAGTAGTAATAGTAATATTATATTATCCTAATTGCTCAGAAACTTTTACTTATTTCTGTGTGTGATTATAACATATCAATGCGAGCATTTAAATCAGCAGCAGAATTGCACAGGATGTTACAACACCTCGCGTTCTCATGTTTACACGTTTGTACTGCAGTGCTGGTTTCTCCGATACAGCATCGAGCCGCCTCATCGCCCTATGGATTCTCCTTCCCACACTTCAAACCCTTCCAGTTTCGTTCTGCTTTGCTCTCACAAGGACTTGTTTCAGTGGAATTTCTTCTGCAAGGTTCGATGCAAAGATGCTAGATAATTAGATAACTGGCAGTAAAAATAGTAAAAGTAAGTTATATTTTTGGAAAGAAGGACGGTATCAAGAGGTGTTAGTCGTCCTCAGAGCTGCTACGATGGTGCAGCAAGCTGCAGCGCAGACAGACTGCTTCTCCAAGTCAGTTGTACCCAACCTCCTGAATAGCCTCCCGGGTGTTGCTGTAAGGCCAGAGCTCAGGTGATGGCCTGTAAAACACCCTATAAAAGCCAGGAAGCATCCACTCAGCAGAAACATTTTTGAGATTAACTTGGCAGGCTCTTAGAGGAGGTATGGGAAGCAGGGCTGCTCTATTGGGAATATTCTTTAATTTGGGCTGTTAGTTTACTATCCTGAACAGACAGGTCTAAGAAAGAATTGTCACAGCCTGCAAGAGTTGTAAAACTAGCAGAGCAATCCGAGAAAGCAGGTTTAGGGGACAGCTAGCAATCTAGAGAGAAGTATGATGTGATGCTGCAGGGGTTCCAACAATGAAGTAGGCAGTTTTGCAATAGGAGGGAGATGGGGGGATCCTTGCAAACGTAACCAACGCTGCCTCCTTGCATGTCAGGTCAGGGGTATCAGTGCATGCTTATGGATAAAGTAGTCCTTCATGAAGATTAGCCAGTTCCTCAGGCCCCCACAGAGACACTGGTCAGAAAAAAATTTTCTTCTTAGATTTTTTTCTTTTCAAATACCAATCACATTGGCTGAGAGCCTGGCATAAGGCAATGCAGTGAATCACTGGCACAGATCTGCCCAGAACTCGGGCGTTCAGGATTCCCGTTCCCACGGTCTCCCGCTCAATCTGTGTTTCTCAACCTTCTCCAGTGGGTGATGCCTTCCTCAGAGCAAAAAAACAACACTCATGACTGTAAAGCTGAGAGAGAAAAACTTATCGCAGTGATACTCCTGTCTGGTTCCCTTTGTGTTTAAGGAGATGAGTCGAGAAATGCAAGGGATAAAGAATCTATCAGTGAACAGGTGTCGTGTGAGAGTTATCTTCCAGTGAAATTCCCCATACAGTTCGTTTCAGCAGTTCAGCCCATAGAAGCTCTGCTTACGCAGCCGCCACACTTGCATTAGCCTCAACAGAAGTGAAAAGCACTGTGAGGGATACAGCGTGGGGGAGCGGGCAGAGAGGAGCCTCTGGCCAGTCAGCACCGTCCAGGGCATAAAGGAGGGAAACACGGCCGTAATTAAAACAAAGAGAAGAAGTTCATCCTCTGTCTTTTAGGGCATTTGCACCCTTATCGCTGTGAGCAGTCCCTCTACTGTGTGATCTGTAGGCAATGCTCAGAATTGGTTTGGGAATCTTTTCTCTTGGATATCTTTTTTCTCTCAACCTACCACTGGGTTTTATAAAATGACATCCTAAATATGAATAATTTGCCCATCTTCTTTGTAAAACATATACCCGTCCATACTTAGACGGGAGAAATGCCCTGAAGTGGAAATACATAGAAGAGGCCAGGTATTGGACAGCTACCAGACGGCAAGGCATGGTTATGATCAGTAAAAGTAGCCTGGGAATTCCTTCTTCTGTAAGATCATAGGCGTGCAATTTGGTTCATGCTCCAGCTCTATGAATTTCTTTTACAGTACCGATAACTACTGTCACAAAGTAGGGAGATCCTATTACTCAGCTTCTATGCACTTGTTATCCAATGTGTACCCAAGCAGGTAGCACTTATAAATGTGTTCATTTTGGATAATTAATTGTACGTGATTGGAGTTCTGCACTCAGGGGTGTTTTGGCACTGGGAGCTGAAACTTTCCATCTTTAAATTCCATGATAAAAAAGTTTCATAATGCATTTTAGTGACTCCTTAGGAAGATTTTTTTTAAGAGGCTTTCTAGGGAGTAGTCAGTTCCTTAAACCCACCCTCTCTTCCCCTGATAGACGGTAATAGCAGAAACAAGTAGGGGTTTTGACTGTTAGTTTTCCCATTGCAGGGACCACCAGAGCATTGCACCTGGCGGTGTATTCTTCAAAGTTTTGCCCAGTTAGTCTTAAATGGCGAATATGTCACTGCAAACTTTTGGGTCTTGCACATAATCTGACATGTTATCGTGTATTTCACAGGCAGGGCTTGATATTTGTAACCGATTCAAACAAAAATGTCTGCTAAAGGAAATTTCTCCCAGACATGGCTTTCTGGTTGCGTCAGAGAGAAGCAAAGATTTATTAGCTTTCCCCCCTCCCCCCAAGAATACGAATCACAGTAGAGATTAACTCAAGTAACAGTGATTAGGCACAGAAATTCAGATGGAAGAAGCAGGTAGGCCACCCAGAGACTTCTGCTGGGCCCCTGGAGTGAAGAGTGTTGAGTAACTTGAACAAGTGGTTGCTCTTGCTCCTCGCAGAGGCACGGTTGGCCATGCTCAGCGCATTCTTGCTTGGTCCCAAGGCCCACTGGTAAGGTCCTGCAGTGGAAGATGCTGGTTTTGCCGGTCACTCCTCAGCCTTTCTAAAACTCCCTGTTGAAAGATGAAGGGAAGCAAGAATTTCTTTGAAGAAGCGTCACCTCATTCAGCATTTTTAATCTTTTTGTTACTTCATAATTATAGACTGTGCAGTTCTCAGTGGAATAGATTTTTTTCCCAGTATTCTGGAAAGGTTAGAACAGTGTCAGACTTAATAATTGTACAAGCATGTGTGTTTGCAGCTTTATCACATTAAATACAGGGACCTGCTTCTATTCTCGACTGAGTAAGTGTAAATCACTCTTTAAATTTAGAGTGACCGTAGCAGTATAAATCAAATACAGACGAACTTAGAATCTGTATTTATGTGTGTATGGGTATTCACAACAAATTTTTGACAGTTAAAGTAGGATGGCACATGATATATTTTAATCTTGTCTACCAGACATTAGTATACGTAGGACTGTTGCAAGTCAGGGAGGATGTTTGATCAAAGGAGTAAATTTTTATGGAGGAGTGTGCAAAGCCTATTAATTTTTAAAAACTAGATCTCATCTACACCAAATCTTACCAAAAATCTTACTCCTTACACAAAAGCCTTCTGAATTCACTGCCTTTGTTTTCAGCATCAAGAGTCTGTGTACAGTATATTACTTTCTATATGAATGGCTTCAGGCCTTTTGGTCTATAGCCAATACTTTCATGCCCAACTGTCAGTCTGTGATGGAAAAAAGCATGTTTGTGAGATAGGCTACACTTTAAAGTAGGATTAATATCCCTCTTACTTCCTTGATAAGAAGGAATAAATGGAAGCCTCAAAGCAGGATCATTTTCCATCTTTTTTTTTTTAAATCAGAAGTGGAAAAGAATCTTTCTAAAAATTACAGCTTCCTGTTCATTTTCAACATTTCCAGGCATTTGATTGAGATGCTGTCAGGACCTGGAGCCTTACCCAGTCTCATTGTTTTTATGGCTTCGGACACTTCCTCCATTGTGGCTCCTCTCTCCAAAGTCTTATTCCCTTCCAGGCAGAGCTTCAGGTGTTCAGCACCTCCTGGAATCACAGCCGTGAAATCAGACATGGAAAAGACCTTTTGGTCACTCCCCATCTTTTGCTACTTCAGGATTTTGCAGCTAATACCCTTTATATTTTAAATGTCATGAGTGTTCCAAATATTTTACCCTGCTTTAACCATTTTGCCCCCTTAATACCAGTTACATTTCTAACATTTGGCTTCATTCCAAAACTACTGACTTCTCTGGCTCCCTGCATGCTTTGCAGTGGGCATTATTTTTCCTTTTCCTCCTTCATCTCCTCTTTCTACACGTCCTCTGATACAACTCTTCACAACATCCCCTTCATTCGAGTCACTTGTGAAAATACTACCATCTTGATATGTTACCATATAAGAACAAATGTCAGAGTGGACTTAAAACACGATTGGGAAAAAGTAGCAAAAACATTCCCAGATTTCCAAATAAGGAAGGACGTTGTCATATCCTTTCCTGCTATTCAGAGAAAAAAGTTCATGGAAGGATGTACTCTTTTATTCCAATTTTTACCTTGGCTTTCACAAGAGTTGCCAGAGTGGGACTGGGAAGATGAAGAGTGGGAGAGGCAGGATTTGCCCCCTCCTCCTCCACCACTGCCACCTCCTCCACCTGAAGCTTTACCACAGGCTCCACCTCCTGTTCTTCCTCCGCTCCCTCCTCCTCCACCTCTGGAAGAGCAAGTTCCTCCAATTCTTCCTCCACCGCTTCCTCCACCTGAGGACCAGCTACTTCCTCCTCCACTGCTTCCTCTTCCAGAAGACCAGTGAGTTCCTCCGTGGCCTCCTCCTCCTGAAGATCCACCACCACCTCCTCCCCGTGAGATGCTGTAAGGAGGAAAGGGTACGTACAAGATTTACAGCAGCATGACCAGTGTCTGCCATCCTGTCGGCTGTATCGAGGACACTTTCTGACTCCCTCTGAGCTCCTCGGATGACTGAGAAAAGTACTATTGTGTGAAACATGTTCTGGAGAACTGGTTTTAAACTATCCTAATTAAGGACAAAGTAACTGATCTGCACAGAAGAAGAAAAAGAAAGATAATGAATGGCTTTAGATGTCTTTCAAAATATGTACCTTGACTATTTATAAAAGACAGTTCTTTTCTTGCTTACCTTTCATTTTCATATATAATTGTACTTCCTGATTGTACTTAGGAGAAGAAATGGCATATTATAGTTCTAAATACTTTTCTAAATGTTTCTCTCCAGTTCATAACAAGTACAGAATAATACAGCTTTGTACATTGCCAGCTAAGATTTAGATTCCTTATGAATTCTTGTGATTGTAGTAAATATGCTGATGATGAATCAATTGCACTAGTTCCTAACATAAATATTGCTACTTTCATCTTCACCTGTTCGCATAGACGGCATGGTAATTAATCTGAACGTACATACCTAATATCATGCTGTCCTTCCTCGAGCAGTGCCCGGTACTGAGCAATCTCCTGTTCCAGGCGGGTCTTGATGCCCAGGAGCATCTTGTACTCTTCATTCTGGCTCTCCATCTCACAGCGGATGCTGGCCAGCTCCTCCTCCAAGGGGCCGATCATAGCCTGGATCTGCTGCAGTTGCATGTTATAGCGACGTTTTGTGTCTTCCAAGTTGGATTGCAAAGACTGTACCTGAGAACGAAAGAAAAAATATAGTATTTATGGGAATGTGGCAGGCTATGGGAATGTGGCAGGATTAGATCGTTCTTATGCCCAAAATGAGAAAAATCTTACATAGTGTCAGATGCGCCAAGCATCTTCATTAAATGGAGTGCTAGCTATAGCTGATCTCCTGTCCTTCCAGCAACTCCTGTTCTTTGCGTATCAGAGGATCAGAAGCAATCGGTACCTACCATGCTGATCTGCGACTGCAGCTCGATTTCCAGGCTCTGATATTCACGCCTTAGCGCAGAGATCTGTTGGTTGCTTGATTCCACTTCCTGGCCGCTGGAGTGGACTTGCTGACTCACTTCCTCCATCTGAAAAATTAATGCACAGAATTGGAGTTTTGGAGGTTTACGGACAACGTCAGCATGGTAGTTTATCATGGAAGCACCTGGCAACACAAGTTGAAGCAGGGCCACTTGTAACATGGGAGCTGTTTAAATTTGCTTATATGGCTCTGCCAGCGCAGTTCAAGCCCACTTGTGATTTCCTTTATTTTAATCGAAGGGATTCTACCATTATATCCTGAAAGCAATGGATGTTGTTGTTTAAAGTGTCATTCATCTACAGGACGTTCTTACCAAAAGCTGGTATTGTTTTTCTTTTGTAATGTGAACATTCAAATTGTAACCATTTACCTTGCTTTCATACCACTTCTCAACGTCTTCACGGTTTTTCTGAATAATATTTTCATATTCTTGTCTCATATCATTCAGTTTTTTCATCAGATCCTCCCCTGGAGCAGCATTCACCTCCACATTCACATCACCACTGGACTGCGTTTGCAGCAATTTCATTTCCTGCAGAGAAAACCCAGGCCCAAGGCAAATAAACAAAAATGGTGAAATTACTTTGCGAAAGAGTTTTGAAGTCACTTAACTTGCTCTGAAGTCATAAACCATCCTGGATCCTTTCAACAACATATATACGCATGTTGTTGTTTCTTTTCTTGTTGCAATTATTTGGCCTTGACTTCCCAGTCGCTGCTTGTTGAGAGGGACTGCGCTCCGAGGGGCCCTGGAACAGCCTCTCTCAGGGGGCCCCTTGCCGAGCTGCCAGGCATTAGGAGAGCAGGGAAGCCTATTTAGTGCAGAGGATGTCACCTGCGAAACCTGCCCACATTTCCGATATTGTAAATGTTCTTGTTTCCCTCTGCAGTTTGCATTTCAAGGAGCTGGCTCTTACCTCCTCATGGTTCTTCTTGAGGGCAATCATCTCCTCCTGTAGAGACTCAAATTGCATTTCCAGGTCAGACCTGCTCAGAGTCAGATTATCCAACAAGGGTCGCAAGCTGTTGATGTCAGCCTCCACATTCTGCCGCAGGCCATATTCCGTCTCGTACCTGCGCAAGGACAGTGCCGAAAGGTCAGCCCTGGTCTTGGGTTCTCAGTCCTTCTCCTACTGACTTTATTGATGAAGAAGTTCACATATTGCAGTATCTCAGTGTCTGCTTTGTTCCTATACTTTGTAGCACATAGCGTCTCTCAACCAGCAGAATTATGAAATCAGCAGCCGCTACTTAAAATTTAATATTAATATTGTTTAAACTTTAATTAAACTTTAATATTAAAAGGTATTCTGTGGTCTTTTTCCTTATCTCTTCTTACTGTAGACTTTGTGCAGGTTTCATCTGACTTTTAGTGAGGGAAAATCACAATTTTTCTTTCCTCAAAAATACAGCTTTTTTTAAGCTTTGACTCCACAGCCATAGGGAGTATTCCCATTGAAGATCATTATAGAAATAATGAAGAATTTTGAAGTCTTACAAATTATCTCAGTTGTGCTGCCATGGAACCGGGAGGAACCCTAGTCTCTGTGGATTGATATTTGTTTGTGGAATGAATTTATGAAACTAAGTTGAGGAAAGTAGGAGAAAGGAATTCAGTGCCTGGAAAAGAGGAATGTATATTTACTTTATCCTGAAGTCTTCTGCAGTCATCCTTGTGTTATCCAGGTCCAAAAGTACTCTGTTGGTTTGCACAGCCGCAGTCACAAGCTGGAAGAGAAGACGATATGCTGAAGAAAATTTTCCCTGTGAATCTCTCAGGTTTGCACAAGGGACAGAAATACGAATGCGATCTTCTTGTTGTAACTCCCAGGTGTCTGAGGGCAACAGCGTTTCCTACACACAGAGGCCTGGAAAGGTCATCTACAGTGCAAAACAATGAGGTACCTGGGTGAACATAGCACCAGAACTGCAAAAACTGTTTTGTGAGTACAAGAGTCCTGTCAAGAGGCTTGGTGTCACTGCCATAGCTCTGTCCCACCTTCCATGCCCGCAGGCCAAGGACACTGCACATCGCAGAGGGTAATTGCTACCATTTTTCCTATGCCCTAAAGTCCACTACAGGCGTTCTGAGAGTCTGCAGTCACTGCCAACGAACGGTCTGGGGGATGTGCTATAGGGGGTGTGCATCATTTCTCCACCTCTAGTTGAAGGTAGTTCGATGCACGCACAGAAGGCAGAATTTCAAGCACAAGAGGCACTTTCAGAGAGGCACTTAGGTTAGAAGTATCCATGCTGGGTGCCTCAAAGATTTTACTCAATCACAAAAAGGCTGTGAATGCTTAAACTTCTCTGACAGAGAACATCCTACCTGATTTTGAAGGTCTTCGATTTTTTCATAATAGTGGCTGTAGTCCTTTGTACCAGTAGGACCTTGCTTCTCATACCACTCCCTGATTAATTGTTCAAGCTGAGCATTTTCCATTTCCAAATTTCTGACCATATCCAGGTAAGAAGCCAGGCGTTCATTGAGGCTCTGCATCATCAGCTTTTCATCGTTGGAGAGAATTCCCACATTCCCTCCATGAAAGCCACCACTGCCAAAGCTGCCACCACCTCCACCAAAGCTGCCTCCATAACCACCACCAAACCCACTCCCACCTGATCCAAAGCCTACTCCCATGCTGCCACCGCCCATTCCCCCTCCATAACCACCACTGCTCACTCCCCCTCCATAATAACCACCGCTCATTCCTCCATAACTACTGCTGCTCATTCCTCCTCCGTAGCTACTGCGCCTGATCTTTCCATAGCTGCCACCGCTAGCTCCCCCACCACAGCTGCTCCTGGAACTTCCTCCGCCACAACTGCTGCCAGAAATCCTGCCACCACCTCTTGTCGTAGAAGTGATTCTTCTTGAGGAGACAGAGGAATACTTACTGCCCCCTCCACCACCACCACTGCTCGCACCGCCACCACTGCTCCCGTGCAGGCAGCTTCGAGAGGTCTGCTTGGAGCCACAGCTCATAGTGGCAGTAGTGAATGACTCGGGTTAAAACTCAAAGCTGGTCTTACAGTTGTTCTGGAATCATAGCTCCAAATTCCACCCTACCTGGTCTGCATTTATACCTGAGATAGTGGGTGTCGCCGTCAAAGGGAGCACCTTCTTTCCACGTGCATTTGCAAGCCGTAGTTCTTCTGCCAAGGGTAATTTGCCAAAGGGAGATGTTTGACAGTGTCAGGAAGCTTAACCCGTACTCAAAGTGTTCACGACCGTTTGTTTATTAATACAAACCATGTAATTTCTGTTGGGTGGCTCTGAATTAGGTAGATCTTTTCAGTGATCTAGTCCACTGACTTACAGTCACCGGAATTAAGCTCATCCCACTCATCTCATCCTGTTCACAACTCTTTCAGCACAACAATAAACTGTCATAATACGGGACAGTAATGAATGTTACTATGTCTCTTTTAATATAGTTGTTCCTCATGCTCTTTCTTTTCAGATTTTTGTCAAGGAATCCCAGCTGATTTTTTTATACTTAAGTGATATTTTAATAGGTTCTGGTTTATGGGTATCTTATGCTGTATGCTCCTTATTTTTAGTCCTTTGTTGCTCTATGCCTTTTGAAAACACATCACAGGATGTACTTTGTAGGTACACTGAACCACTCTGACATCTTTGCAATTTCTCATAAAAACTTAGTGAAGATTGGCAAATATCGGACGTGTCGGCAATTTATTCCAAAGTACAATTATGTTTTATAAATAACAATTTAATTATGAAAATTGCATGACAATAACTGGAAAATAGCACTGTGTAAGACACCCTTACATGAGTAACCCTTCATGTGCTCGGACCAAATGCAGTTACAGCGTGGTTGAGAGACGCGGGAAAGCATCCCGGCTCCGGGTTGGTCTCTCTTGCCACGTCTGTGAATATGAGAGGTAAGGGTCTCACTCCTGAAGGGATTTCAGCATTTCAGTCAGGATGTTTTCTTTCCGCAGTGCAAATGCAAGCATACTTGCTTGGAGGGGGAAGGTTAAGTTCCTATTTCGGGGATTAAGTCAGTAAGCTCTACATCAAAATAGCATTTTCCCTTCAGTTTTGTTTTCCATTCATGGACACAGCATGACCAAAAGTAGGAAATATTTGCTCTCTGGCATCTGCTTCTTTTAAGATTGTATCTTTTTCAAATACACAGCAGTGGATAGTTCAGCTGAGCATCCCTCTTCTGAGCCCTTACAGCAACCCGAGCCTCAAACACTGGCAATCTCTGTCCTGACTGCCTGCCACGTCTGCCCTCCTTCCCAGGCACACGATCTTCAGCGAAATGCAGTCTGTTAGCTGTCATTCTTCGTAGGCTGGACTGGTTTTGTGATATCCACCTTCCTGTATTGATTTGCTGTATTCTTTTCTCGCTCAGTCTTTGTGATGTTGGTTGTTGCTAATTTAGAGGGTTGTTTGTTATGGCTTATAGCAAGTGTTTGTGGAAACATCTTTTTAAAAACGCCCCTCCCAGCACACCCTCGCCCACACAGCAGGACACACCTCAAGTTTCATCTTCTGCTGGACTTCATTGCTGAAATGTCTGAGGAAGCAAGGCCTTCTCAGGCTTGTAGAAATGTAAACCGTTCACTACAAAACTTAGTGGAGTCTAAGTCATAATTTTAGCTTGTTACAGTGATGAATCCTTTTCTCTTGAAGTGGATGAAATTCTCTTCTATACCGTTCTACCACTGGGTTATGTTCTGTTTAACTGTTGGCTTCCAGAGGCTGACACCCACGTTAGAAGGACATGGATACGTTTCTATGTTGTTCTGTATAATTTTGCAGAAGGGTAAGGGGCTTTTTTTTTGCCTGGAAAGATGTTTATTACATCTTTTGGATGAGTCATTTCTTTCGGGTGGACTAGGCTTCATGTCTTCTGTTCACAAAAAGAACGTTTGGATAGTTTGAATATCGGTGAGGATGCTTGTGTGCAACATACGTCACAGCTTCATGTTTAATACATGAAAGGAGATTTAATGCCATTTTTCCCTAGAATTCGTGCAGGTAACATACCTCAAGAGTGAAGATTAGCTCCTTAAAATGAAGAAGCCTGATGGATTTGGTGTATCTGGAAATGACTGGCCAGGATCAGGGATAGGAGTTACGGAACAACTGGTTCCTGAAAGGAATGTTTTATTTCAAGGTTTGCTGTAAGATGGAAGCTGTTTTATGAAATGGTAGTTTTCTCTGCAGTTACGTCTCATAGGACTGCCCAGGCACCTGCAAGCACACTGAGCTAACTAGATGATCTTAGATAATGTTTCCAGGAAAATCCTGAGATAAGTGCTGCAGAAGAGAATCTGGTGGGTTGGGAAAACCTTAACAGAAGAGAGATTTCAATAAACTCTGCGGGAACTGCAAGGAACCCCAGTAGTACCTGTGAAATGGGACAGTGAAACGTTACAAAATCTCGGGCTGGTGCTGCTTATTGCAGCATCCCGCTGCTGCTCCACAAACACATCAAGGCACATCCACCCTACGCCGGTGTGCCCGTCGCTGTCGCACCCCGCGGCGCAGCGAGTACAGCACAAGGAGCCGCAAAGGCTTCCTCTGGCATTGCCCAGGCTCAGGACTGCTTGGCGGCACTCCATGATGCGATGCTCGTAATCAGCCAAGTGGCTGAATTCACTTTCCTTTACTTGTCCGCCTCAGTGGGCTTACCAGTGCTGGAAACAGGCACTTTTGACCACACTGAGGACAGTCCTCAGTCATGGGCAGATGAAGAAAGCTCAGAAAACTTCAGTTGCTGCAAGAAGCGGGGGCTGAGAGGCAGCTATGGCTGTGCTGAGGGAGAGGCCGAACGGCGTGACAAGGCGGGAGCCTTCATGTATCACCCGTGAATGTCTCTTACAAGACTCTGTCTGGTGCATCCTTGGCCTGGCTGCTCGCGGGTATTCAGGTAGAGCTCAGGTCTGTTGGTTTTGAGTATTAAAGAGCTCTTTTGGGTTCTCTTCTGCTTGAGAGGCCTCTGAAAGGCTGCTCCAGAGAAGCTGCCTCTGTGCCTCTCACACTGGTATAAGAAAAAAAGTGTGAATTGAACTGCAAGGTGAGATTTAAAACACGGGACTTGTTTTGAAACAGATTTGGGGGGGGGGGGGGGGGCACTGGGTATAACTAATGGAGAGAACATATGGTCACAATGTCCCCTCAAAGCTGAGAGTTTAACGGCTCTCAGGAAAACCTGCCCTTGCATGGCTGACATGCTTCAGCTCACAGCCAAGATCGGAGGGGGTGGAGGAGGAGGAGGAAGATGCCTGGGGGGCAGATGACACCATAGTTGTTTGCAATGAGGCCTCTTCCCTTTTCCTCTGATGAAACTGTTAGGAGCTCCTGCCCACAGAGGACGGTGGACTATTTAAGCCTGAAAGGCTCACCCAGTGTGGGCATGAATTCACCCGTGCACTTAAATGGCAGAATTACCACGCGCTCCACAGTAACACAGATGTGCGTTGGCTGAAAGCAGAGGCTGGGGGAGGATGAAGTCTTTTTCCCTTGGGGTGTGTGTGGCAGCAGTAAGGGGTGAGGCTGAAATGGCCTCCGTGGTGGGCTGGGGTGATGGCACGGTGACGGGTGTGTGGGCTGAGCGCCCGTGGCACCACCTTTTCTGAGCTCTGCGTTTCCAGCCTCCTTTGGACCAGCGCGGTTGGGAGAAACTGCTGAGGCTGCTGGCTGCATTTGTAGGGGTACGACCGGACTGTTACCCACCCTTTTCGGTGCTTCAGTGGTCATGAATCCTCTTCCATCCTTCCCACCTCTGCTCAGATCTTGTCAGGAAAATTCAATTTGCTTTGGTTGCTACACGGAGAAAAACTGTGGAAGATCTATCTGGGGAATATGACTCATTCTCGTAATTATACATTATAAACTGACTTCCATTATATAATCAACAAACAATTTTATTAACACCAGATAATCCCATAGACCAGTATTTCTCCATAGTAAAGAAGAAACCCAGTCCCTGAAGTATGACTGTGTTGGAGGGAGAACATTGTTCTCCTTCTGAGGCCATATGCTGCTCTTCCTTCCACTGAGGTTCAGCTGCCCAGCACTTAGCATGACACTGTTCTCCTCTCCACTAAAATTTAAATGATGAGGGTTTTTTACGTATCCTGATAAAAAGCTAGATGCTTGAAAACTGAAGAATCTACGAAAATCTGATTCAGATTAGTTGGAACATATTAGGGCTCAATCATGTTTATTATTTTAACTGGGAGTTCTAAACAGAAAGCAATTCCCACCTCATGATTCCCAGTTGTTCACCCTGTGATGAGGCCACGATGTGCTGTGGCATCTTTTTTCCCCACTAACTCGGCTGGTGGTGCCTGCCAGCAGTTCCACCCAGAAATATTTGGGGTTGAAAGTGTTGTCAATACCAGCTATTTCCAGTGAAAATTTCATTTTCTCTAAATGCGTTTTTGTAATTAGAACTAGTTGGGTCAAGCACCCGTGCCCCCTTCTTCTCCTAGCAGCGGGACGCCCAAGCAGTGGCCTTCGCTTTGTCCGCACAGCAGTTTGTGCAATTGTCCTGACCCCCAGTGCCCAGCCGGGGCTTCTGCAAATGTATTTAGCATTGCTTAGTGGCACGGCACACGGGATGCGTTGTTCACTCTGTTTCTTTCTTCCTATATGTATTTATGGCCACATCTAATCAAATAAAGCAGTGCGTTTCTAGAGCTCAGTGAAATTCTGTGTAAGCCACCTGCGTATGATCATTCCCTGCATGCCAAAGCATCCTTAGGCTTTTTAAGTGAAGGTTTTTAAAATATCTGTTTTGAAGTGCGAGAGTAAGTCCCCACCTCTCCTGCTCTGCTGCAAGACAGGGTGTAAGTCTCGGCACCTGCCCACACCCCGAGATGTGTGGGCACAGGGAATATCCCTGGAACGCGTCCTCCCCGTTGCATCGGAGGGTCCTAACAGAGCGCCTTCGCCCACCTGCCAGCCAAAACCGGGCCGCAGCACTGGGAGGTGATCTGCGG